TTCTTGCATGAAGATAAAAAAGTAAATGTAAATTGCTGGAAAGATGCTGCTTCCATAAAGGGAAACACAATTTGAATCTCCTCACTGGAAAACTAGGAGTTCCCTGAATCAGGGGAACTGATCATCAAATTCCATTCTCCAACTCACTGTCCCATACAATGAAGTCCCGGACCAGAAAATCAAACAAAAGTTACTCTTCTTTGCAACTGTGACAGGAAATCTAGTTGCAGGGTAACACGGACAACTCTTAGTCCCAGTGACATTAGAAAATCAAAGCTTTATCACCCCACTCCCCAGCATATATGATATCATGGTAACAAGTATGAGCTGATAGGGTTGGCAATACAGTGAAATGATAGTGATCCCAGTCCTGCTGGGACTGTAGAATGGTCACCTTTGAAAGCTAATATATTATAATTGAGAAATGTAGTTTGTAATGTCAGAGACCCATTGTTTTAGCTTGTTGTCATTAGTGGGTGTGGGTAGGTCAGTGGGCAGAGGTCAGAAAGATCTGGGGGAGCTGTGTATAGAGCTATTTGTTTCTTTCAAAAATAATATACACAGGGAAGACTACAGCAGTACAAATGTAACTCAGTTTACTGGAGTGGTGCACGTCATATTTGACTGAATTTTCACAGCAAATCCACTGATTCTGACATTAAACCTAAAGAAAAGATTTCCAACTACTGCAGTGAGCAAGGCACAGAAACAAGTCATTTAAATACTTCCCTGCAGAGACATTACCGTGGGAAATGTAGCATTGAAAAGTGTCCAAAATCAAATCTGCTTTATATATAAATTTGATAAGTGCCTCAATGGTGAAAGTTTATATCTTCCCCAATCTCTAACATTCACAAGCTCTGGGTGGATGGGGGTAGTAGGGCAGGGTAGATTGCTAATGGCTTTTGTGGAGAAGGGAAACAAAACAAATCCTAATGTCCTTGTAGACTTGGAAAAGCAGGACTTTAAAAAAAAAGACATCATACTTGGCCAGGATATTAAAGCAGCCTAAAGTTTAGACAAATTTTTCTTCTTTGGTAGTGTATACAGCTTCATTTTAAGTAGTTCTGTGTCATCATCACCTGATCAGAAGTCTTAGATCCAGCTAGGTTATTATCATTCTCATTAACAGGAAAGTCATTAACTTATAGCAATAATGGGGCAAGTATGCAATGATATCAACGGAAATCATCTTAAAGAACGGATATTGAAGAACCACAGATAACATGTTGTACAGCTGGACGAACACAGGAGGCCTAGCAGCATCAGAGGAGCATGAAACCTGACGTTTCGGGCCTATTTTCTGAAGAAGAGTCTAGGCCCGAAACGTCAGCTTTCCTGCTCCTCTGATGCTGCTTGGCCTGCTGTGTTCATCCAGCTCTACACCTTGTTATCTCAGAGTCTCCAGCATCTGCAGTTCCTACTATCTCTATTGAAGAACTAAAGAGGTTGTGACCAATGTCAATGGCAGGGAAAAGAAAAAAAATTGAGTGATCTGTAAAATTCACTAATTTGGTTCTGCTGGTTTTGTATAACACCAACTACTGTTTACCCCATTAGATTTTTTGGGAGAGAGAAAGCAAACCCAGATCAATGATTGCTGAATGGTAGAGCTAGGGCACGTTTAAAAGAGGAGGAGATAAATTTTCTTTATTCTGAGGGTGCTCACTAGCTGCATTCAGTTTAACCTATTGGAAGACTGATTCAGTTCAGGTAACTAATAATCTTGGTCATCTGTGAAAGGATTAAATCAAATACATTTCCATCATTCAAACTCAGTCAATGATCTTAGATACCATCCCCAAACTGAAAGTCAATCTTCAATAAGGGAGAATTTTTCTCCTGTCAAGAACTGGCTGATAGTCAGGAAATAACAGTGAATGTCTGCCTTTCACCAATGTTAAGGGTTTTTGTTAAATCCACTTCCATTTTCAGGTCCTGAATGATTATTCGTTTTGGTCTGTACACCACAAATCTCAGTTGACACACTGGGCAGATTTGATTTTGGTAATTTTAATGAATCTCACTGGTTTATAAAGGAATTCATGTCTCAAAATATTACAGATGTTAAGGGAGTAGAAAATGGATTTCAATAATTATTTCAGGAATTATTAATCGATTGACAGATCATCGTACCTCAGTAAATAACAAGTGGAAGACCCTGTATTCTGCCTGCCTGCAGACAAAACATCCCACTTTACAGGTATAAATACCAGCTTTATACAGCATTAGAAAGATCAGACAGCAATTAGGCCAACAAATGGTAAAAATGAGCGACGAACATTTCCACACTCCGTTAACAGTTTTGGAAAGACATTCAGGCTGGACACTAAAGTCTGCTGATAGGGACAGACAAATCTGCGCAAAAATAAAAGAACTTTCACAACCATGACCTAAAGGCAATGCAAATCAGCCAATGTCCATTTAGTTTTATCTCCTTTTCTATTCCCCCATTACCCTTGGCTCGCCTGAAAGCAAGAAGAGTGAAGGGACATCAACCTTCACCACTAGCTCCTCAACTAGGTAAAGCTAAATTTTGGATGGGAGCTTTTTCCTTCTCCTTTCAGCTCCTGATCAAAAATTCTGTTAAGTGTGCAGCAAAATGATACTTACTTCATTCATCTTTATGATGCTCAAGTTTGACCAGTAAGCACTGATGAAAACAATAGAGAAAAAGTAGGGAAAAGATTCTTTCCTTTTTAAAAATTGAGTGGAATGCCCGGGATTATTTGCTGCAATGGCCTGATATGCTTATGTTTAATCCCGAGAACAAACTTTGATACCATTGCCAAAACCCTCCCCTCCCATCCTTTTCGTCACACAGGGATAGGATCTTGGAGGCAAAAGGCAGACCTGCAAACCCAGCCAAGTGAACAATGCTCACATGCAGGCCATAGTCAGTCAGCATCTCCAGAATGTGTTACCATGAGGTGGCCTGCACAACGTGCTGATGAGACAGGCATTCTGCAATGGCATCTGGGAGGAAGGATCGAGGAGCAATCCACAGCAGGAATCCAGTCGATTCTGGATGATTCCACTCCAAGAAGAGAGAGAATGACCGAAGCACCCTGCCAATTATGCTGGCTAAGGGGTAGCTTTTCTTTTTCCAACAAAACATTAAAGATTAAAACATATTCAAGACAAACAAATTAATACATATTAACGGAAGTTTTTTTTTTTAAGTGCCTAAACTGACTGCAAGAATTGCATGTGCTTAAAGCCATAGAAATGACCTCATGAAAAATAAAATGGTAACTGTTTAAAAAAAAATCTTCCTGTTCAATAAATGATAGAGATATAAGCACTAGTTTCCAGCAATTAAATAGGATATCAATATATTGTTAACAGTAAATGTTCACACTCGATATATTGGGAAGTATTTTAGATGTGGAAGACCTTGGTGTAACACACAAGACTGGTTTAGAATAGTCAATTTCACAGGGTCTATTGCGGCTTAACAACCATTTACCCTGTGTGTGCTATAAATGCCTTCTACCCTGATCTTGGTGAAGAAAAGCTCAGGGTTTTGCCAATCTAATCAGCAGATTGATGTCCATTGTGGCCTCACCCGATATCCACATTTGATCAGACAGCAACAAGATTGTGATAGTTCTTTCACATGGGTCCCACTAAATTTCAGCCAGGGCCTCCCAGGTAGCACTGATGTTTAGATTTTGAGCAAGCTATCTATTCTGGTGATGTTTTGAGAGTGTCTGTCGCTTGCTATCCCTCTCTCTACCGGCCTTTCCTAATGTTAAGGCCAGAAAATTATCGTTGCACACCAGAATCTTCATAGCCACACATGAATATCTTTGTGGAGGAGGAATTCCTGATCACTGGGAGCCAGGGCAAAATGTTAAGCCACTTGAGAATGTTGCCACATTATAAAGATTGCAACAATTTAGCAAGTACCTACCCTGTAATATACTCATTCATAGGTCTCTAGAAGCTGTGCTGTGCTATAACGTGATTGGGAAACATGTTAGCAGAGTTAGGGGACATTAGACATGTCTTACAGGATGAAACCACCATGACTTACAGGTTCCAAACCCTTTTTCAGGAACCAAACCACTAATGGCAGCACCAGTCATGGCTGTGGAGTTACCATTGATTCCAAAAACTGCAGGGTGCCCTGAGCCCCACTCATCTATACAACTCAGCAATTAAACTTCTTAGGATTGCCACCCTGCCACCAACCAAGTTGGTGCTATGAAAGCTGGGCAAAAACAAGCAGAGGATGAAACTCGTGCCAACAATTGCACAGGGCTAGCTGAGAAATTCACCATAGCTGAAGCATCCTTCAGGCATACTTTATTTTAATTATATTCCTTTTACCCTCACTCTTTGCTTTGACACCATCCTTGAACGTGGCTCTGCAGTGCTGGCAGGATATTGTGGACTGATGAGAGACTATTTTTGTAACTTTTCTGTATGCCACATTAGTGCATCACAAGATGTCCAACTGTGTTGAACACATGCCTAAGGTTAGCCTAGAAATCGAATCTAGTCAGGACAGTAACCTAAGCCTTGCTGCTCAATCTCTACAGCATCAATATCAAATGCTGGTGCCCTCTGGAGCCATCATGGTTTATCAGGCAAAAGAACTGTATCTATAATTCCCATCCTTTTGCGTTTTCACTGCCTTCCAATTCTTCCCTTTTGCGCAGTATCCCCAGATTAAGCACTGCCCCTAAGTGTGCTCTGAGACACCTCTCTACGTAAAAACATGGCTAATGTAAATTGTTGGTGGAATGATTGAGTTAAAAAAAAAGAAAATGAGTGAGAAAGATTGGGAGCCTTCTAAAAAGCGTTATCCCATCTCAGTGCTTTCCCAACCTTTTAAAGGAATTTCAAATAACATTTTCTGTTCAAGTATTTTGAAAAATTGAAAATAATCATTAATAAAGCACACATAATTACCTTTAATAAGTCCCCTTTTTATAAGAGAAAACTAGTGCCTTGGATTGCATATATATAGAAGGGCAAGACACAACACTCACTTTGACATTTTCCAATGTCTTCCTTCATTCACATAAAAGTGCAACCTCTTCTGACAGAAACAAAAAGTGATCTTTTAAAACAGTACTACAATACTGAACAGCTGAAGGCTCACTTTGAAAGTTGTATTGTGCACCATTTGAAGTTTGCCTGTCTACAGAGATGGCGGATGAGTTGGAAGAGGAAGCAGGTTCACTGCCCAAATGTTCAAGTGTATTGTCAGCTTTAAGAGAGTGGGGAGACTGTAAAAGCTCCTCTTGTGAGATCAAAAGCTGTTTCCACATTCCAGACTAGACTTCAACCCAATGAAAAAAAATGGGGGAGTGCTGTCTCCAAGTAAAGATCTTCTGAAAGGCAGTGAGTAAACCAATCAGATCTTCCAAAGCAGTGGCATTAATTGCAAAGTGAAAATTTCTCTTCCAAGAACAGCAATAAATATGAAGTTCTCTCTTCCAAAAAAAGTTTGTGCTTTTCTTAGAAACTAATATCAGTCATAAAAAGAAGAATTGGTATAACATCAGATTACTTTACATGGAATATGAAATGTGGAGCTTTCAAAGAAAAAGATGTCATTGGTGTTCAGACAAGGACAGATGTGTACAGGACACAACTGAGACAGGTGTTGCGTAGCAATTGCAAGCAAACTTGCATTGTTTCTCTAAATAATGCACTGTTTGGGATAACTGGAGGAGATACACCTACTCCACTTGCTTTGCTATAGAGTGGGAAGAGGACATTTTCCGCACCTGGCACACTGTTCTTTGCCTCAGACAGTGTGTCCTGCTCAACTGTGCTCTCTTCATACAAAACTTAAGGCACCTACTGAGAGGTATTTCAGAGAAGCAGGTTCTGGGGCAGAAGCACAAAGAGGCGCAGAAGCCTCAGATGTACAGCTTGTAGCCACATTCTCACCACAGCACCGGATTGTCCAGCTTCGAGAATCCAGGATCTTTCCTCAGCTCCCAGTAGGTTCCGTTGCTCACCCAGGATTCTTTGCCACTGCTATCAACTGTTTTTCTGGAAGGGAGACATAGCACCGTTTCTTTAGGATCATCTTGGCACCCCAACAACGTGCAAGCTGTCTGACGTGGTTCATGTGGTAGCATGTGTGCCTCGGAGTCAGAAGGCAATGGGTTCAAGCCTGAACAGAGGCAGGTTCAACAATGCTGCAGCCCCCATGATGGGAGGTGGGGGATTGAGGAGGCAATTTGCCCCATATCAAAACCCCATTCTTTTCAGACGATCCCTGATCCACACAGGCTGCCCAGTTAACTGAACACCTAAGGGAGTTCCAGTTCTTGTGACAACAATGACCTCTGACCTGCATGGTGCAATCTGGAGCTTTGAACACAGATGTTAGCACCTCCAACTTTCTTCCCATCACATGGTTGGCCAGGAATCTCTCCCACTCCCCATAATTTATAATCAACAAATGATGGGGTTCCTACAGTGCAGACAGAGGCCATTCAGCCCATTGAGTCTGCACTGACCCTCGGAAGAACATACCACCCAGACCTACACTCCACTTTCTCCCGTAACCCTGCATTTACAAATGGCTAATCAACCTACTAGATACTATGGGCAATTTAGCATGGCCAACCCACCCTAATCTGCACAACTTTAGACGGTAGGAGGAAACCGGAGCACCTGGAGGAAACCCACGCAGGGAGTAAGTGCAAATTCCACACAGACAAATAGTCACCCAAGGCTGGAATTGACCCCAGCTCCCTGGTGCTGTGAGGCAGCAGTGCTAACCACTGCATTACCATGCTGCCCCATTGTCTCGGTTGGTAGGATATACAAGTTGACTGTCAACTTTGCACCCACCTTGGTCACGGAGTCCTGGAGTGGGAATTGAACCCAGACTTTCTGGTTTAGAGGCAGGAATGCCACCCACGTGCAATCCAGGGCCATGAGCATCAAAACCAAGGCTCACCCACACAGTGCAGTACAGAGGGGTTACCTCATTGGTTGTATGAAACAGAGGCCCTCTCACCTGCTCTCTCAGGTGAGTAGATAAAAGGAGAGAGGACGGAGGGAGACGCGGAATGGGTCAGGACAGAGTGCAGAGGGAGCAATTCAATGTTAATACTTGTCAGACTCTTCCTGAAAATGTATTGCAAACTGTGGGAGGTAACCAAGGGAAACAGCTGTAAAACCCACACTTTTGTCTTGGTTTAAAAATCCTGGAAACCTCACTCAAACAAGAAACAAATTCTCCATTGCAAAATTAAACACACGCTGACATTGATGGACTGACTCCCTTCTGCAGTCCCAGTTTCCAAGACCTTCTGCTCCAGTGCTCATGTCTTGGTGCAGCATCAACAGTTTGTGAAGTTGCACACCCTCTGCAAAGACTGACCCCCATAACTCCTCCCAACTTACGTAAAGAAGCGTGACAAGTACGTCATGTTGTTCTCCTCCATGATCCTCCTCCTGTCTCTCTGGAGTTGCTCAATTCTTTGCTTGTGAACTTCTGCTGCCTCAGTATTCCCCTCCTCCAGGTACCTGCGGAAATTAAGATATGACATTCAGAAAGTATTTCCAGATGGTAACAAAGAGTCGCTGGATAATATATTATAGAATTTCATTCACAAGAGAGAAATGATACTGAAGCTGCATTGTCTTGTGCTCATCAATAAGAAAAACAAACAATGAGTGGAGTCACCTTGCCAACCAATTGGTTCCCTTTTCTCTTTTGTATAAATTGTTGTCATCATTTGAAAATTTGGCATTCTTATATTTGTCCTAATGCGTACAAGATAAAAAGATCCAGTAATGTCTTTCTTTTCAGCAACAATCATATGATGAACTGGGGGCATAGATATTTAAGGTAATCGGCAAAAGAAAGGTCAGGGAAGAGGGGAGGAGAACAATATTCCTTACAATGATTAGGAGTGCACTGCCTACAAAAGGTGGTGGAATCAGATTACTGGAGTAACTTTCAAAAAAAAAGAGTAAATTCCTCGTGGAAATATTCATAAAGCCCTAGAGAAGTAGCAGGGAAGTTGGTCTTTACATTGAAATGATGGGCCAAATGGCCACATTCTATACTCCATCATTCCTAGAGAAACTGGAGTCAAATCAGGGAGGCGATGGCCTAGTGGTATTATTGTTAGACTACTAATTTAGAAACTCAGCTAACGTTCTGGGGATCTGGGTTCGAATCCCACCATGGCTGAAATTAAGCACCTCCCATGAAACTATTGTCTATTGTTGGGGGGGTGAAGGGAAGAAAAGGGGAAGAAGGAAAAAAAAAAACAACGATCTGGCTCACTACTATCTTTCAGGAAAGGAAACTGTCATCCTTACCTAGTTTGGTACTCCATATCCACAGCAATGTGGTTGACTCTCAACCACCCTCTGAAACACTCAAGCAAGCTAGGAAGTCTCAACAAAAATGAAACCCATTGAACTAGGCAGCGGAGAAGACAATGGCAAAACAGCCCTGTTGACCTTGTAATATCGTCCTCACTAACATCTAGGGGCTAGTGCCAAAATTGGGAGTTCTATCTCACAGACTAGTCAAGCAACAGCCTGACATGGTCACACTCACGGAATCAGACCTTACAGACAATGTCCCAGACACCACCATGACCATCCCTGGATATGTCCTGTCCTGCCAGCAGAGGTGACAGCACAGTGGGATACTGTTGGGAGGGAGTTGTTCTGAGAGTCTTCAACATTGACTCTAGACATCCTGAAGTCTCATGCCTTCAGGTTAAGCATGGGCAAGGAAACTTCCTGCTGATTACCAAGCAAAGACTGTGACAAGAGCACAAAATGTACTCTGGGCGAGGGATTTCAATGTTCATCATCAAGTGTGGCTCGGTAGCAGTGCTACTGATTGAACTAGTCAGGTTCGAAAGGACATAGCTGCTAGACTGGGTCTGCGGCTGGTGGGGAGGGAACCAACAAGTGGGAAAAACATACTTGACCTCATTCTTACTAATCTGCCAACAGCTGTATTGCTAAGAGTTGCCATCACATTGAGAATACCTTTCATCATGCTGTGTGGTATACTATCACCGTGCAAAATGGGACAGACTTCAAACAGATCTAACAACTCAAGACTGGACATCCGTGAGGCACTGTGGGGTCTCGACAGCGGTAGAATTGTACTCCAGCACCATCTGTAACCTCATGGCCTGGCATATACCTCACTCAACCATCACAATTAAGCCAGGGGATCAACCCTAGTTCAGTGTGCAGGAGGGTATGCCAGGACCAGGACCAGCACCAGGTATACCTGAAAATGAGGTGTCAACCTGGTGAAGCTACCAAACACATATAAGCAGTAAGTGATAGACAGAGCTAAGCAATCCCAGAACTAACAGATCAAATCCAAGCTCTGCAGTCCTGCCACATCCAGTTACGAATGATGGTAGACAATTAAACAACTCACTGGAGAAGGAGGTTCCACAAATATCCACATCATCAGTGCAGAAGATAAGGCTGAAGCATCTGCAGTAACCATCAGCCAAAAGTAGCAAGTGGATGGTCAATCTCCGCCTCCTCCAGTGGTCCCCAGCCTCACAGTTGTCAGTCTTCAGCCAATTCCATTTGCTCTAGGTTGGAGGCACTGGACACTGCAAAGGCTTATGGGCCCTGACAACGTTCCAGCAATACTACTGAAGAATTGTGCTCCAGAACTTGCTGCTCCCTTAGCCAAGCTGTTCCAGTGCAACACTGGCATCTACCTGACAATATAGAAAATTGTCCAGGTATGCCCTGTCCATAAAAAGCAGAACAAATCCAACCCGACTAATTACCGTCCCATCAGTTTACACTCCAACGTGATCCCCTGGCTTAACTGTAATGGTTGAGTGAGGTATATGCCAGGCCATGAGGTTACAGATAGTGCTGGAGTACAATTCTACCGCTGTTGAGGGCCAACAGTGCCTCACGGATGTCCAAATTGATGGAAGGTGTCATCAACAGTGTTCTCAAGCAACACCCGTTCAGTAATAACCTGCTCAGTGACGCCCAGTTTGGGTTCCGCCAGGGCCACTCAGATCCTGACTTCATTATAGCCTTGGTTCAAACATGGACAAAAAAAGAGTTGAATTCCAGAGGTGAGGTGAGAGTGACAGCCCTTGACATCAAGGCCACATTCAACCGAGTGTGACATCAAGGTGCCCTAAGAAAACTGGAATCAATGGGTATCAGGGGCCAAACTCTCCACTGGGTTGCAGACATATCTGGCATATAAGAAGATGGTTGTGGTGGTTGGAGGTCAGTCACCTCAGGTCCAGGACATCTCTGCAATGGTTCCCTAGGGTAGATATTTTCTAACCAACCTGTTCAGAGATGTTATTACACCTTTGGATCAAGTGGGACTTGAACCCAGGCCTCCTGGCTCAGATGTAGGGATACTGCCATTGTGCCAGAAAGGTCTTAGTCCTTCAGGGTAGTGATCTTGGCCTAACCTCCTTCAGCTGCTTCATCAATGACCGGCTCTTCCTCATAAGTACAGGGCTGGGGATGCTGCCTAATGATTGCACAATGTTCAGCATAATTTAAGACTCTTTCGACTCCGAAGTAGTCCATGCCAAAACACAGTAAGATCTGGACAATATCCAGGCTTGGACTGACAAGTGGCAAGTAACATTCGCACCACACAAATGCCAGGCAATGACCATAGAGAATCTATGAGAGAATCTAACCTTGACAACGAATGGCACTACCACGTCTAAATCCCCCACTGTCAACCTGCTGGGGGTCACCATTGACCACAAACTGAACTACAGCAGTAATACAAGAATAAGTTCCTGCATTCTGTGGACTTTGGAAGAGTTCCAATGGTCTGGAGAGTAGCTAATCTAACCCCAGTCTTTAAAAAAGGAGGGAGAGATAAAATGGGGAATTATAGGTCAGTTAGCCTGACATTAGTGGTGGGGAAAATGCTGGAGTCAATTATTAAGGATGTAATAACTGAGCATTTGGAAAGCGGTGACAGAATTGGTCCCAGTTAGCAAGGATTCACTAAAGGGAAATCATGCTTGGCAAATCTGCTGGAACTTTGAGGTTGCAACCAGTAAAATTGGGCAAGGGTGAATCAGAAGATGTTGTGTACCTGGACTTTCAGAGTGGCAGGTGGGGTACCACAGGGTTCAGTGCTGGGACCCCAGCTGTTCACAATATACATTAACAATTTGGACGAAGGAATTGAATGCCATATCTCCAAATCTGCAGATGACACTAAGCCGGGCGGCAGTGTGTGCTGTGAGGAGGATGGTAAGAGGCTGCAGGGCGACTTGGACAGACTGGCTGAGTGGGCAAGTACTTGGGAAATGCAATATAACATGGATAAATGTGAGATCATCCACTTTGATCACAAAAACAGGAAGGCAGCTTATTATCTGAATGGGGGCAGTTTAGGAAAAGGTGAGGTGCAACAAGACCTGAATATCATAGTGGAACAGTCACTGAAGGTTGGGGCATGCAGGTGCAGCAGGCAGTGAGGAAAGTCAATGGCGTGCTGGCCTTCACAGCGAGAGGGTTTGAGTATTGGAGTAAGGATGTCTTGCTGCAGTTATACAGGGCCTTGGTGAGGCCACAGCTTCAGCATTGTGTGTAGTTTTGGTCTCAGAGTCTGAGGAAGGACATTCTTGCTATTGAGGGAGTCCAGCAAAGGTTCATCAGACTGATTCCCAGGAATGGCAGCACTGACATGTGAGAAAAGACTGAATCGACTGGGCTTGTATTCACTGGAAATCAGAAGAATGAGGCGGGTGGGGGGAATCTCATAGAAACATAGAATCTGACGGGAATGAACACACTAGATGCAGAATGTTCCCAATATTGGGGGAAGTTCAGAAGTAGGCGTCACAGTCTAAGAATAAGGAATAAGCCATTCAGGACTGAGATGAGGAAGAACTTCTTCACTCAGAGTTGTGAACCTGTGGAATTCTCTCCCACAGGAAGCTGCTGGGGACAGTTTGTTAGATATATTCAAGAAGGAGCTGGACATGGCCCTTGCAGCTAAAGGGATCAAGGGGTATGGGGAGAAAGCAGGAGTGGGAGACTGAAATTGCATCAGTCATGACCATATTGAATGGTGGTGCAGGCTTGAAGGGCCAAATGGCCTACTCCTGAACGTATTTTCTATGTTTCTATAAGAGCAGGTTAGAGGCTTGAGTAACTCACCTCCCAACGCCAAAGCCTATCTACAACTTGCAAGGCATAAGCCAGCAATGGTTCAGTATTCTCTCCTTTTGCCTGGATGAGTGCAACTCCAACAATACTCAACAAGCTTAATATCATCCAACGAAAAGCAGCCTGCTTGAGTGGCAACACATCCACAAACATTCACTCTCTCCACCAGCAACTCACAGTCGCAGCAATGTGTACCATCCATAAGACACATTGCAGAAGTTCTCCAAGGCTCCTTAGACAGCACCTTTCGAACCTATGACCCACTTCCATCAGAAGAATAAGGGTAGCACATACATGGGAATACTGCCACCTAATGACATTGATAGTTTAACTACACCCTATAGACTTTGACTGTTCAAGACGGCAGCCCATTACCTCAAGGACAACTGGGAATGAGGAATAAATGGTGGCTCAGTCAGCATGACAATGAATCAACAAACAAATTCTAGGATTCAGTGGAGAGTTTGGAAACCCAAATTCAGTGAGCTCGATTGAAAATGTGGTGTTGAAGTTTCCATCTGTTGCCAAAGTGCAAGGAAGAGTCTTTCAAAAGTTAAAAATCAGTGAATCAAAATACTACAGCAAAGAAACACAGCCAATTGTCAAGTGACTGTAAAATTAATGAAACAACTGATAAAAATAACACCAGTTATTTTTGGTGAGAAGGCAGCAATGCAATCATTTATTTATAGCAGGCAAGCAGATGGACAAAAATCACCAGGAAGAGTTAAATAAAACTGGCCTTACAATAACACAACAGAGATCTTGACACTTCCCACCTCTTACATTTAACTGCCAACAGTAAGGGTGGGTGAGTTTCCAGGTCAGCCAGAAACAGCTGATGGCTGCAACATTATAGCCTCCCCATATTAAAGAATCAATGGGCAGGTTCTCACCACGAGCAAGTATCATCCTCATTCCAAGGGACTATCTCACACAAAGAAAATCTGCAATCATGGACAAGATAAACAAGTGGAGAGAAGAAGAATATACCCAGCAACGCACAACGCAACAGAGATGAAAATTTGTTATTTTGTTTTGCAGAGGCAGATCTTTCAGATAGACGCTCTTAGCGAGTCTGCTACACAGGAGCAGAAGCATGAGAACTCATGTTAGGGTCTAGTGGTATTTGTACTTTTACAGATGGGCTGGCTATAAAGGATGTAAACCACTGGCCCCCAAATCGACCTGCAACTTGGAACATATTTAGTGGGGCCCAGAAACCACGCTGTGTGATGTCAGCATGTGAAATTACTGAGGCACGAGCACTCCCATTTTGTGCACATTTTTTGTTTCACCCACTGAAACAGGAAATAACACGTGCAAACTAATTTTGTGTCTGTGTCTCAACAGAGTCAGGCAGAAGTATCTAAGATTAAATTTTAATTATCTTTGGAGAGTCACAATATTACTCAGTTGAACATTTTATGACCAACTAAGATATCAATGGATTTGAAGTTTATATGACAATTTTTTTTTATTATTCGTTCTCAGGATGAGGGCGTCGCTGGCTAGGCAGCATTTATTGCCCATCCCTAATTGCCCAGAGGGCAGTTAAGAGTCAACCACATTGCTTTGGATCTGGAGTCACATGTAGGCCAGACCAGGTAAGGATGGCAGTTTCCTTCCCTAAAAGGACATTAGGGACCCAGATGGATTTTTCCAACTATTGACAACAGGCTTCATGGTCATCACTGCACTTTTATTCCACCCCCCCAAAGATTTTTACTGAATTCAAATTCCACCATCTGCTGTGGCAGGATTCGAACCGAGGTCTCTGGAATATCAATCCAGCAATAATACCACTAGGCCTTCGCCTCCCTTTTAGCAATGACTGTATTCGTTCCAGCACTGATGATGGGTTTATTCAAAGCAACCCTACCTCTGGTCAGGCCGCAGGCGTGTGTCAGTCAAGGGCAGGACGCGCTTAAGGTCAGGAGTCAATTCATTAAGTTCTCGTGCAAATGTGGTGAAACCATAATAACTTTCGTGATCTTTAGGTATAGCATCTGAAAGATGGAGAAAAACAAACCCAGAAATTTCCTTTAGAAATATGGTCAGGGTACAATGCTGCATGCTGCTTGTGATCAAACTATTGAAAAGTAACGAAACAACTATGTTGTAAAAATCACAACTGCACTGACACAACCTAAAGCTCCGTCAATCTAAAAAATCTGATGGAATTTATATATATTTTTTAAATCCCAAGCAAGGCACAATGTTTGACTCAAAATACGAAAACGATGGAAATAAACAGCATAACAGAATCACCCGCAATGAAGAAAAGACAGTTCAATGTTTAACAGACGTAACATCCAGAATTGGTCAAGGCTGTTTTATTCCATCATTTCACTGCTGTTGGTTGCATCTTCAGTAAAGGTGGTGGCGGCGGCATAGTGGTCAGGACTTTGAACTGATAATCAAAAACTACTCTGGGGACACAGCTGGTGGAATTGAAGATGGTGGTAGAGGGTAGAAGACTGGAGACCTGTGACCATCAGTGTGTGCAAGGTCCACTGTTTTTCATCGTTTATATAAATGAGTTGGATGTGAATAAAGGAAGTAAGTTTGCAGATGACACTAAAATTGGAGGTGTAGTGGACAGCAAAGAAGATTATCTCAGTGTACAACAGGACCTTGTTCAGATGGGCCAACAGGCCAAGGAGTGGCAGACGGGGTTTAATTTAGATAAATGTGAGGTGTTGCATTTTGGAAAGGCAAATCAAGGGAGGACTTATACAGTTAATGGTAGGGCCCTGGGGAGTATTGCTGAACAAAGAGACCTTGGGTACAGGAGCATTAATGCCTTGAAAGTGGAGTTGCAGGTAGACAGAGTGGTGAAGGAGGCATTTGGTATGCTTGCCTCCATTGGTCAGTGCATTGAGTATAGGAGTTGGGAGGCCATGTTGCGCTGTACAGAACATTGGTACTGCATACAACTCTGGTTGTCCTGATATAGGAAAGATATTGTTAAAGTTTGAAGAGCTCAGAAAAGATAATACAAGGATATTGCTGGGATTGGAGGGTTTCAGCTATAGGGAAGAGGCTGAAAAGGCTGGGGCGCTGGCGGCTGAGGGGTGACATGTAGAGGTTTTAAAATCATGAGGAGCATGGATAAAGTGACTAGCCAAGGTCTTTTTCCCAGGGTAGGGAAGTCCAAAACTAGAGGGCATAGGTTTAAGGTAAGAGGGGAAAGAATTAAAAAGGGACCAGAGAGGCAACGCGCATATGGAATGAACTGCCAGAAGTGATGATGAAGGATAATACAATTACAACATTTAAAAGGCATCTGGATGGGTACATGAATATGAAGGGTTTAGAGGGATATGGGCCAAATGCTGGCAAATAGGACTAGGTCAGTTTAGAGTATCTGACTGGTGCAGAACGAGTTGGACCAAAGAGTCTGTTTCTGTGCTATATAACTTTATGACTCTTATAAACGTTTTTAAAATTCGTTATTGAAAACTAGCTTGGGTTTGTAAAAGGGAAGGAAATCTGTCATTCTTACCTTGTCTGGCCTAAATGGACCAGAAAGCCACATCATTCAAGGGCGAATAGGGTAACATATGCTCGCCTTGCCAACAACATCTGCATTCTATGAAAGATTACATTCTTTAAACATCTCAGTCCTCAAGCTCTCCTCTTCTGTCCTTTTAAGATGCGGTTCAAAACCTTCTTGTTTTGCTGAACGTTTACAGACTCTCAGATGTTTACAGTACAGGAGGCCACTCAGCCCATCATACTCTTACCAGTCAAAGACCTGACCAATTCCTTTTCCAGCTCTGGGCCCATAGCTTTGGCATGGATAGCACAACAGGGGAGTAATCTAAACACTGCTTAAACGAGTTTCTGACCAACCACCCTCCCAGGCAGACAGTTCAAGATTCACACCACACAATGGGCGAGAACATTTCTCCTCAACACCCATCTTAGCCCCTACCTTTACCTTAAATCTACACCCCCGGGTTGTTGACCCCTCTACTAACGGAAAAACTGCCTCTTATTCACCTTATCTTTGCTCGTCATAATCTTCTCTACCTCTAGCAAGTCCCCTCCCAATCTTTGCTGTTCCAAGGAAAACAATCCCAGCCTATCCAATCATTCCTCGTGGCTCAGACACTGCAGCCCAGGCAGCATCCTGGTAAATCTCCTCTCTAGTGCAAACACATTCTTCCTATAATGTGGTGACCAGAACTGCAGGTCAGTCGTGGCCTAACCAGCATTTTATTTCGTCATTGTCTGACTGGGCCATAGGACTCCTCTCTGAGAGGCACAACTGGTGGTGGTTTAACTTGAGGGCCAGCACACCTCAGGTGCGGGGAGAGGTTGAGAAGGAGAGTCCTTCATGGTATCCTCAGCTGGTGCAGGAATTGAACCCACATTGTTAGTATCACTCTGCATCACAAACCAGCCAAATAACTTCCTTACTGTTTCTTGGTTAATAAAGGCAAGTATCCCAAATGCCTTCTTAACCACCTCTTCTTCCAGCCTCGTTGCTTTCAGGGATCATGAGTACACACAAGGTACCGCCGACCTTCAGTCCTACCATTCAGTATGTAACCTTCTGCTTTGTTAACCCTCTTCAAAGACCCACTTTTAAAGATCTGAACAAAAAAGTTGGCCGACTTAAATCAAATCCCTGTCAGCCCTGGAAGGTGCAAACAATGTCATGGCACCAAGTAAAGCAGGGGATTTCTCTCTCATGGTCTGGCCATAGTTTTGGCTCAACTAACACCTAAAACAGCATACCGGGTCATTACCATGTCAACGTTTGTAGAAATTTGCTGTGAGCAAATTAGCTGCTGCGTTTTCCCTACAACAAAAGTGACTGAACTTCTACATTTCAGCAATGGCTGTGAGGAACTGAGAAACCTTCTGAGATTGTGTCAGGTGCTATATAAATGCAAGACGTACTTTCTTTCATTAGCAATCACTCATCAGGACCATTCGCGGAGAATGAGTTGCATACAATGCTAGATATGAAACAGCCCAAGGGAGGAGGCAATGTAACATTTCTTACGTGGTTTCCAAATGCATTTCGCTGACTGTGGCCCACCACAGTAAAACCCCTCATGCCATTTGCCAAACAGTTGATGGATGACCCTTCCACTCTGATCCATCACACAGCCCTGAACCTCATTCACGTTCGAATTCCAGTATTTGGTCTGAAAGATTAAAATAAAAGAGAGAAAGTGTAGCATATGGGGTTGAATCTGTTAAGAGATAATATACGCGATGAAATAACTGACATCCAACATGCTATTGAGGCTGCAAGAGAGGAATGAAACAACTGTGCTAGAGGGTAGTCACCAATATTCTGTACAGATGTATGTAAATAAAAATGTTTATTGGAATTTCATCCAAACAGAGGGACACACTACCACGTGCACTCCCCCACCGCCCTGTTTCTATCCCTCATTTGTATCTGTTGTCAAACGCACTGTTCGAATCCATTTCTCAATCTTCCAGTCCCAATCAACTCTAACCAATCCACAATCAGTACGTTCTACACACTCAATGCCTTCTGTGCAGAGTAGTTTAATCCAAATTGCTGAGCAGACTTTGGCAGAGTTTACATCTTTGCCCTCTGGATAGAGTTTGGAATGAACAGGAAAGCAAAGGGAGAGGGGGCAAGAGTTAAACAACGGTAAGTAGCATTTGGAGGTCACAGTTCTGTTTCAATGCTGCTCCCTTAGCAACCCAGGTCTACCCAGCAACATTACACATTCTGGCAGCAGTACCATGACAAGACATTCAGCTGTCCCAGTTTAGACATACAGTTTATTTTTCCAAAGGAAAAAGTGGTTCAGATAGATCCACCATAGAACACAATGCAGAGCGCGGCAGCTCAGTCCATTATTCTTGCGTTGGCTTGAGAAAACAGCAAATCAACTTGCCTCAGTCCCTTGTTCTTTGCCCAGAACCCTGAAAATTTTGCCTCTTTAAAGGATTTATTCAACTTCTGTTTGAAAGTCGTTATTGAATAGACTTCCATTACATTTATTTTTTAACTCATTCACAGGATGTGGCATCACTGGCTAGGCCAGCATTTATTGCACCTTCCTTAATTGCCTAGAGGGTAGGTAAGACTCAACCATATTGCTGTGCCTCTGGAATCACAGGAAGACCTGACTGGGTAAAGGTGGAAGATTTCCCTCCTACATTGGGTGAATCAAATGACAATTGATAGTGGTTACATGCTCACATGAAAATAGCTTTTTATTCCACATTTTTGAAAACCAAATTCTAATTCCACCAAATTTCATGATTTAAATTCGTATCCTGGAGAACATTAGCTGGGGTTCTGGATTACCAGTCCGGTGACGTTACCACTTTGCCACTGTTGCCCCCAAAATGTTCAGACAGCACATTGCAAATTACAACCTGCTGAGGGAGAAAACTCATCCTACCCTCTAGTTCATTTGTCAATTATCGTAAATCTATGTTCTCATAAAATCTGCTGTTGGATCTCCTGATTCACTATCAGTATCTGTCAAGATACTGAGCACCTCTATTAAATCTCTTCTTAACCTTCTCTCTCCTTAGAGATCAAGCTCAGCTTCATGATACAACTGAAGTCCCACATCCCTAGTATCGTTCAACTAAGTCTGCACTGTAACCTCGCCCAGGCCTTGATATCCTTCCTAAAGTGCGGTGCCCAGAACTGGATACAATATTTTGCCCCTTTAGCAAATGCTACTAAATTATGAGCAATGGGAGAAAAGAAAGACATTTACATTACATTGGTGGACCTTGCAGATAGCTCCAACCGAACTGCCCAATGCCAGATGGACAAGGACCTCATGGGCAAACTCACCTTACAAAATGTCAACCTGCAATGACAGACACTGTTCTTTATGCTGGTGATTGTCACTTCCCCATAGTGTTCTATCCATCGCTGCCCACTCAGGATGTTGTGGATGCAGGAGGTGATCTTATTCCACTGATAGTGATCGCCAAACCTGGGAATATCACAGGAACACACTGGAGTTAAATCAGTCACAAAATGTGTCACTTATATTTGACGCCTAAATGGACTAGAAATGAAGGGTTAGTGGTGCGAATGGAGATATGGAGTAGTAAGACCAACCATGATTTAATTCAGCGAGGGTCAAGATCAAAAGGATCAAGTGGTCTACACCTGTTTCTAATTTTTGTTTGTTTGCATGCATCCCTTTAGGCAATGCATTCCAGATAATAACCACTCTCTGCATACGAAAACATTTCTTTTCCGGTTTCTGGTTAATTTTCCAATCACCGCCAATTTGTGTCTTCCAACTACTGACCCTTTGGCTTTTGGAAGTAGTTTGTCCTCCCTTACCCTGAAACTGCTTCTGAATCAGCTACTTACCTTGGCAGGCTGACATTCACCATTCCAACAGGCACAATCTCCAGTGACTTCCCCCAAAACTTATTCTTCCACCTGACATCTGAAAGCAGAAAGGAAACAAAATCATTTGTTTAACTCATCACCACTTTCAGATACAACCCAAAGCTTCTCAGATTACTGAATTACACCAGATATTCTGTAAATCAATCCGTTCGGACAGATGTTCTTATACACATCTGAAGCAGGTGGGACTTGAACCCAGACCTCCTGGCTCAGAGGCAGTGACACTACAATTGCACCAGAAGTATCCTATGGAATTACTGTACTGAGTCGCTGGCACCAATAAATATCGTGAAACTCAGAACACAGAAGGCCAAATAATACTACTGTAATTCATTTGGTCAGCCCCGAATCATGAGCTCAGTCTTGGGCAAAAAATCAGTGTTACACTAATTGTGATAAAGTAGATGTTGGATCATGGAACAGAAACAGAGGTCAAAGCAGAAAGAGGGAGAGAGAAAGATTTAAGCCAAAAGTAAATAAAAACAAAAAAAAAAAAAAGGGTCTTGCTCAATCATTCAGCTTAACAAGTAACTTTGTTCCATTGGTCTGACCTGGAACACACACATAAGGCATCACTGACCAATCTGCTTGTCTTACAGTTTGGGAATTTTTCCCTAATCCAGTTGAAATGTAGCATGAAAGAAATAAAGTTAGGACAGAGACTGCACAGGTCCCCACTGCTCACTGTTGCCCCACCTCATCCAACGTAATTGCAGGAAAAGTCTGTAGCTTCATCAGAGGGGTTACTGCAGGTGACTCAGGAAAATAGGCCTTTTTACAATTCATTCAGGTGGTGTGGGCGTTGCTGGCTACGGGTGGAGGCTGTAGGTGTGGAGTCACATGTAGGCCAGATGGGTAAGAACAGCAAATCTCCTTTCAAAAAAGGAGACTTGTGAACCAGATGGGTTTTTACAACAAATCGACAGTGATCGCCATTACAGTTGCTTTTAATTCTAAATTTTGATTGTATTCAGATTTTGCCATAGGCCATGGTGAGATTTGAACCCATGACCCCAGATCATTAATCTAGGGCTCTGGGTTACTAGTCCAGTGCCATAACTGCATCTCCCTTACAGGGTATGGGCGGCACCTTTGAACAGGAAATATACAGTCAATTCGAAACTGAACTAGGTAAAACTGTCCACCACCTGTTACCTCCTGGGTCAGGGTTGGACATGATGGAGCAGGAAGTAGACATTAAATTGAACAGTGAACCCTCAATAGTCACAACCCAAGTGATGACTCGTTTATAATTTGTATTCTTATATATATATATGATATTGAGGAACGTAGAGGTTGAAGGGCCAATGAAACTAAGGGCTATAAATCACCTGATAATTGAATGATAATGTGTGTCTGTCCGAGACATTCTACTGCACAATTATTATTCACTATTTCATATTTGAAGTGTTCTGGGGCACTTGTCTTAATGGTTTATGCATGTCTAGCGACAGAAGAGCAAGTTTGTGCCACATCTACAGGTTTTAGACAAGTACCAGTCCACAGGTTACCAGAATTAAAAACAGGTCCAGGCCGCTCAAGTACAATGCCATGTGTGGCTGTTAAAAGCCTATAGGCTGCAGGACAAAATGGAAGAGTGCAGGAGATAAGTCATTCCATAGTTCTGAGGATTTGAGAATAAGTAAACTGCAGGAGGAGACGACCCCTGGGAATATTCCCATCAGTGACGAGAGCCATTCTGCAGCTTTGATCAATACACCTTTTTCCCCTCAGTAAACCTACCCCTATCTCAAGTGAAATAACCTGATCAGTTATATTCAATTTCAATGTTCTGAATCTCCAGATGTATGCTTTTAGCAGACAGCAAGGCCATTTATTTCTGAGCCCCACAGATGCACCAGCAATACACTTGTATATTTCACCAGAGATAGCTCTCCAGCAACATGTAAGCAAGTTTCATTGATCATAAACAGTGACTTGCTGTTTGCCCCTGCGACACTTTCAGGTTTAACTTCTGTAACTGCCCAGTTAAGTCCTTCACCACCCACTGCCAAAGAAACTAACCTTGCCAAAAGAGGAAGTTTTCTGATTCAGCGTGACAGACAGACACAGGAGGATGGTGGCTTACCTGGAATGAAAAACACAATAAACTGGGACAGGCAGCATGATCTGGGTGTCAGCAGACATCACAATTCTTCACCACATGCCCCTGCCTCAATGAACCACATCTCTGAATCTCAGCTGGCAGTCTTTATGACAGTCTGTCACCTCAGCATAGATATCTTGAGAGCAAAAGAGCATCCAATTCTATTGTGGACAGGATTGCAACTCTGTGTTTGTGCTGAACAGTGACAGTCACTCAGACTCAACCAGGGCGTGACATTTCCCCTTTGAAAACCAAGCGTAACTTCTCAACCACAGCAGTCAGCTGGGTATTGACTGGAAGGAGAAAACCTTCTGAAGCAGGTGAGCAAACATGAAGTCAGTTTTCCACTCCACAGGAGCTGCCTAACCTGCCGAGTGGGTTTCCAGCAGCTGCTGTTCATGTCTTAACACAATTGTTAAAAGTGTCTCAAAGTGTTGTAGAGACTAGGAACTTTTCAAATGTAGTGACTGCTATACAAACACCACGGCTACTCAGCGGTAACAATTCCCCACAATTAACAACACAGTGCATTACCGGTTATGCTGATATACCGTGCCTTTGAACGAGAATGATATTGTTCTTTCTCATGGGTTTTAAACATTCACAAACCAGATGTGACCCCAGTAGAATAGTTTCCCTGAAAGGCTGCACTTCTGACAACGCAACATTACCCCCCATGCTGCTCAGGAATCTAATCCTCTGACCCAGAGAGGAGCATGCTATTTGATGCAGTATAACTGTCACTCAAATCGAGAAAGGTCAGTAAAGACTGAACATTTACAGCCCAATATGTGCAGGTGGACAAATGGCATTTCTTGCCAACCAGAAAGTGATGGGGACCTGGGAGCTTTGCAGGAGCTATATGGAGCTTCGGGTGATATGCAGACTATAACATGGCCTGATGATGAAAAAGGAGCATGTTCAAAGTTGTACAACAACAGATTATGAGCCACTGCTGGCCCAAAAAAAACATTGTGCACCATCTCTGAACATCTGAAAGTACTTTACAGCCAATGAAGTAGCTCTGAAATATTGTCACTGTTGGAAATTGGAAAACAGGGCAGCCAATTTGCACACAGCAAATGCGCACAAACTGCAAATGTGATTTGCTTTTTAAAAAAAGGATGAAACAGCTCTACATGGTCACAACTGAAGTCAGGTAAATGTTCTGTACTGCAGCTGATTCTAATTCTCAAAACATAGGAAACAGAAAATGTAGCTGCTCCTGATTGGTATTACTTCCCAAGTAGCACTGTGAGCGAATCCACATCAAATGGCAGCCTTCTCAATGTCAGAGATGGGAATAAATGCTGGCTTAGCCAGCCATCTAACAAATGAATAAATTATATCAAAACTCCTGTTACTAACCCAAAGATGTTCATCAAGGCCATTAAACACAGTTTTCTAAGCACAGCAAGTGTAGTTACTGCACAAGCCCAAGTACCAAAAACATTAAACAGCTCCCATGAAGTGCATGCTCCTACAACTGTACAATGATAAAGACATGATGTGTCTAATGACAACAACAGTTTAGTACCAACTTGTTTCAAATTAATGGAGAAAATTAAGTTGAGTGGCTGTACCCATTAGGAACTAGAGTTTATTTAAAAGAAAACAATGAAAAAAAATTAAAAGTTTGACTGAAATTCAGAGTAAAACTTCATCTTTGAAACACCAAATATTTTATCTTTTGACACAATAGATCAAAAGTCACACTTCTGCACACTTTTCATCTGTGAAAGTCCTGTTGTTTCAAAACATTTCACATCAATATTTCTCCATTAAAAATTCCTATATTCACATTTATTATAAATTTTGGTGATGCATATTTGTCAACTTATCGTAAAAGTCTGGTCATTTTCTATGAATATCTTCAGGATCCAGCGCCCGACAGCTGGAAACAATAGGTTCAATCTAAGGGAGTCTTGGTCTTGAGCTTGTTATGTTGTTTGGATATGCCAAGAGCAATCACAGTGGGAAAGAGCAGATATTTCCACACGCACTGGAGCCAGACAGGTTTCGGCAGTCTCTAGTCTGCTGCTGCTTAGTGAGTCAATCTCAGGGTGTTGCAGCCATTGGGAAAAGGGTAAAAGGATACGCTGCTCAGCTTGGGAGGAAAGGCAGGCATGGGGGAAGGAAAAGAAACCAAGCACAATTCCTATTTGGCTTTGAAATCCTCCTGATGAAAAATCCCAACGTGGGTGCGATCAGCCTTGCATAAAGGTGGTATCATCTTCCAAAGTCAAATTGCTCACAATGGCACACATCCCACCCACCCCCTTCAATGGAGGAGATGGCCCAGTGGTATTTTCTCTGGACTGTTAATCCAGAGACACGGGTAATGTTCTGGGCACTCGGGTTCGAATCTCACCACAGCAGATGGTGGAATTCAAATTCCACAAAAATCTGGAATTAAGAGTCTGACAATGACCATGAAACCATTGTCGATTGTCATAAAAGCCTATCTGGTTCATTAATGCCCTTTACGGAGGCAAGCTGCCATCCTTACCTGGCCTGGACTACATGTGACTCTCAACCCAAAGCAGTGTGGTTCACTCTTAACTGCCCTATGGACAATTAGGGATGGGCAATAAATGCCAGCCTAGACAGTGATGACTTCATCTCATGAATGAAGGGGCAGCACTACAGCTCAGTGGTTAGCACGGCTGCCTCACAGCACCAGGGACCCAATTCCACCCTCGGGTGGCTGTCTGTGTGGAGTTTGCACATTCTCCCCGTGTCTGCATGGGTTTCCTCCGGATGCTCCAGTTTCTTCCCACAGTCCAAAAATTGTGCAGGTTAGGTGGATTGGCCAGGCTAAATTGCCCACAATGTCTAGGGTAGGAATCGCGGGGATGGGGTTAGGGGGTGGGTCTGGGTGGGATGCTCGGAGAGTCGCTGTGCTTCCACACAGTAGGGATTTCAACGAATCTATGATACATAACATGTTTGTTCCCTTCACCACTGACACATGGGGGAAGCAGTGTGTTTCATTTCCCTGATGCACTGCACCAACTCGGCAAGTCTCCATTCAACCCTTCAACCTTGCACCCAAAAAGGCCGCAGACCGATGGGAAACACTATCACCGGCAAGTTCCACCGAGAGTCAAGAAACAACCCGCCTTGGAACTACCTCGCTGTTCCTTCACTGTCATTGGGTCAAAGTCCTGGAACTTCCTCCTCAACTGCACATCTTTCCAAAGGCAATGAGGGAGGGGCAATATACTGGTGCAGCATGCAACATCTACTTCAATGAATGAACTTCAAACGAAAGAACATACACAAAGCAGGTGGTTACTCAGCTACAGTGCCTTCAGATTTTAAACTGGAGCTGGACCTCATCAGCTGAAGGGGGAGGGGAGAAAATTAAGAATGGATCAGTAGAGATAATAAATACCTGTTCTCCAATAAACTGGAAGCCCTTATCTTCTCTTATACATTCATACGTTTCACCGAGGACAGGGTTGAATGGCTTGCTCCTCGCTCTGTAATAAGCTGAAGCATAGCCTGACACAGCAAAGGCAGCGATGTACATCTGCAGGGAAGCAGTGATGACGACAGTCATTAAACCAATGAGAGCCTGGGATAGAAAACCCTCAAGATTACCATGAAACCCTAACCATTCCCCATCTGTCCCACACACAGGTCAGATTTGCAGTTTGGGCAGCTTAGACAGTAGGGTGACCTCCCTACTGGCTGCAAACCTGGAAATAATTGCTGGCCTGGCCAGCAACACTCTCATCCCATGAATGAATGTCATTTTTTTAAATGGCCACGTCTCTTCTGGGAGTAAGGAGTGGGTTTCTCTCATTTGAAGAAGTACCAGCACTTACTCAGCTAATTAGTATCATGGAACAGATTGACCAGCTTACCATACGTTCAAAGGGATCGGACGTCCTGCTAGCTGTGTCCAACAGCTCACTGAATTCAAGCTCCTCACAGAGTCGCTGTAGTGTGTTCAGTGGTTCGTTTAGCTGGACTGGCATTGAGACCTTAGACAAGTCTTTCCCAATGTTGTTCTTCAGGATGTTCCATAGGCTGACGTTGTTCAGATTTGGGCCTGGAGCTGGGAGACACGCCCTGCGTTGTGTCCCATCCACAGACCTGCAGCTTGTAGGGTCTTTTGTTTTATCGTCTTTAACAAGAAAGAGTGAGCTTTAATTTGCTTTCTCATGCCTCAGCTTTCAAACTCTCAATTCATTAACAGAGAAAACAAAGCGGAAGCTCATAATATTCAAGGGTTCCCCAATCTGAAATCCTCCATAGCAGCCCGCTCCCTCCCAGTCACAGTAACGTCCCCAGACCTACAAGCTCTGTGCATTCCTCCAGTTCTGGGTCTCTCGCACATCCCTGCTGCCTTCCCTCCATGATTACAGCGACCTCAGGCCCTATCACTATAATTTCATCCCTAAATCTCTCTCTTAAAAATGCTCCTTAAAACCCATCCCTTTGAGAAAAGTGTCTGAGGACCGGTCCCACAATCACCATATCTGCCAGCGTCAAGTCTAGCTTGAGAAATGCCCTCATGTGGCACCTTGGTATGGCAAAGATTCTGAGGGGACTTGACCATGTTAATGCGGAAAAGATGTTTCCTCTTGTGAGAGAGCCGAGAACTGAGGGCCATGGTTTAAAAATAAGGAGGCACCCATTTAAGACAAAGAGGAATTTTTTTTTTCCTCCGAGGGTTGAGTGTCTTTGAAATTCCCTTCCTCAAAACGCAGCAGATGCAGAAGTTTTAAAGATTTTTAGCGCAGAGTGGATAGATTCTTGATGATCACAAGGGGATGAAAGATAATCAGGGGTCTGCAGGAACGTAGAGTTCGAATTATTACACAGAAACAGAACCTTTGGTCCAACTCATCCGTGCCAACCAGATATACTAAATTAAATTAGTCTCATTTGCAGCATTTGGCCTATATCCCTTTAAACCCTTCCTATTCATCTACTTGTCCAGATGCCTTTTAAATGGTGTAATTGTAACAGCCTCCATCATTCCCTCTGGCAGCTCAGTCCATTCACGCACCACCCTCTGTTTGAAAATGCTGCCCATCAGGTCCCTTTTAAATCTTTCCCCTCTCACTTGAAATCTATGCCCCTAGCTTCAGACTCCACTACTCTCGGGAAAAGACTTTGGCTATTCACTCTATCCATGGTCATGACTTTTTTTTTTAAACTAAACCTCTACAAACGTCACCCCATCAGCCTCCGATGCGCCAGGGAAAATAGCCCTAACCTATTCAGCCTCTCCCTACAGCTCAAACCCTCCAAACCGGGCAACATCCTTTGTAAATCTTTTCTGAACCCTTTCAAGTTTCACAATATCCTTCCTATAGCAGGGAGACCAGAATTGAACGTAGTATTCCAAATCAAGGTGAAAATCAGAATTAGTTATGGTCTTATTGAATGGCCAAAGGGAGATAAGGGGCCTTGTCTTGTTTGGCTGTGATATGAAATTGCAAGTTGTTGGTGGAAGCATTCTCTGGTGAGTTGCAGTTTTCTTAGACATTTGGAGAAATATAATGAGCCAGACTTGGGTGTGTCGGCTTTTCATTTGACTTCATGTTTATCTTGTTTATAACCACTCAAAATCTACATGGCAAAAACTCAAGGCCCTGGATAATATTCAACCCTCATTCTGTGGGCAACACCCAGTTTTTCCTAGATTGGAAATTATTAATTGAACAAAGAATGAAACAGAATTGACAAAACAAAAACTGCATGTAGTCAGAGCCACAATTCTAAACTAGAGAGAAGATCTTTAGGAATTTGCATTCCTGGCACAGACCTTCACATTATTGACTCATTAACCTAGAATTTCTTTTTTTTTTAAAAAAAGGCACCAAAGGATAACTTTAGGGGATAAAAGATAGTCAAATATAGCACCCCTACTACAGCTGCAAATCAGAAAATAAATTTCGCCAAAAGGTTGAGAGCTTGGACAAAGACGTTGGGTTTTAAAAGGAGAGCTGCAGAGAAACAGAGCAAACAGGAGCAAGTAGGAGGCCATTCAGCCCTCAAGCCTGCTGGGTCATTCAACTAGATTGCAGCTGATCTACTCCCTCACCGTTTTCCAGCACTTTTTTCACATCCTTTGATATATTTACTATCTAGAAATCTCTATCTCTGCCTTGAGATATGCTCCAACAGCTGAGCCTACATCTTACTTCATAGTCTCAGACCGTGCTCCCAGTTCTGGATCTGCCCACTCTCCTGCCCCACCTGGGGGGGGGGGGAGGGGAGGGTACGCTTCTCATATTTACCTTGTCAATCCCTTTGAGAATATTCTTTAAATGAGATAATCTGTTATTCTTCTAAATTCTGGAGAAAATACGCCCAGTCTTGACAAGCTATCGTCATTGAATTATCCCTCCATCCTAGGCATCAGTCTAGAGAAACTGTAGTGAATTCCCTCTATAGCAATGTATCCTTCTTTAGGTAAGGAGATCAACTGTACACGATACTCCAATTGTGATCTCACCAAGGCTCAACACAGTTGAAGCTAGGCTTCTTTACTCCTGCATTCATATTCACTTGCAATCATGGCCAATGCACTATTTGCCTTTCCAATTACTTGCTACATCCGTTTATAATTGTCAGAGACTTATAAACAAGGACACTGTGGACCCTGTGCAAAGTGACACTTCCCAATCTCTTACCACAGAAGAAATAGAATGGCAGGAAAATGCAAAAAGTTCATATTTTTCTACATTACATTTCATCTGCCATGACGTTGCCCGAGAGGCTAGCACTTACAAACCAGTAGATAGATGAAGTCACAGCACTGACGGCGAGGTGAGGGAAGTGGGGTTTTTAAACAAGAGGTCTGAGTTGGAAAAACAGAGTTACGAGGCAGACTGTTGAGCTAATAGATAGCCAGGCTCAACTTGGGCCAGAAATCGTCATGGAATCAGTGGGAAGTGAACTGTCAAGCCAGTGACTTCAGCCAACAGAGGGTTGAGACAGGTGACCGTGAGGTAGAGCTGGGTATATGTTTAAACTCACTTTCTTTTGAAGGGACTTAAACTTGCCTTTCATCCACAAACCAAACAACTTGCCTTTCATCCACAAATCAAAAATTTGCAGGCACACGGGGGGAAAATAGTTTTAGTTTGCACCAAGGATGTGGGTAGCAATCCACAAATTACTGAAGAGTTCAAACTTGAGAATATCAAATCTCAACATTACCACTAGGGGGCAATGCTTAACAAGGTACAGATACTTCCCAGAAGAGAAACAGATCAGACATCTAGACAATGTGCACACTTATTCTGTAGTAGGTTATCCTCCTTCCACCCAACCACCACTAAGTGAGGGTCAGAGAGAGAACCAAAGTGAAGGAATTAGTAAAGGAACAGACTCTCCTTCCATACAATGCGAGGCAACCAGCTGTAAATCAGAGACAAAAACAGAAATTGTTGGAAAAGCTCAGGTCTGCCAGCATCTGTGGAGAGAAATCAGAGTTAATGTTTCAGGCCCAGCGACCCTTCCTCGCTGGACCCAAGCGAGGGGGGGGGGGGGGGGGGGGGGTCGCTGGACCCAAAACGTTAACTCTGATTTCTCTCCACAGATGCTGCCAGACCTGCTGAGCTTTCCCAGCAATTTCTGTTTTTGTCTCCGATTTACAGCACCCGCAGCTCTTCTGGTTTCTGTTCGGTCGTATTTCATGGTGTGCACACTGTACTTCATTCTTGTTGCTCACCCAGGCATTTTATATGCCAAAGGAAATAGAAATATCTCAAAATGGAACACCTTTCCACATTTTCGCTGTCTGTATCATCAAACTTTCTGGTTAGCTTCTGAACAGATTTTCATTCACCAAATTGGATGGTAAGGTTTTGTCAATTGAAAAGTTATGGATAGTGCCGTTCGGGTATGAGACACCTTCACATTCCGGGCACCCAGGCCTGGATTTCCCAAATCCACCTCCCACTTCCCCTAGGATAAGGGCAGGACATGCATCAGCTGCCCTAATTTCTTTCATAAGATGAGATGGGACAGTCTCAGTTTCTAAACAGGGTCAACAGCAGAAAACTGGATGTGCTTTTTCCAGCAAGACTAGACATTTTGCTCAGGAAACAGAAATGTTACAAAATGTCAAGAGGACCTATGCCAGGACTGAAAAACTCCGACACCCTGCTCCTTCATGAAACAATTTTCAGTTTTCTAAAACTCTCGTGCAATGATACTAATCTCAGCTTCTCTTTTAATCTTTCCAATCTTAGCAATGCAGGAGGTTTTAGCTCCTCATTTTGTTTTCTCAGTTTTACAAGAAACATTTTGCAGAAAAGCAACAATTTGCTGCTCTGCCCAGTCTGCTTCAACTTATAGTCTATTTTGCTCCTTTCCAATCCTAGTGTTAAGGCTAGTAAACCCTCTCTATTGCCTTGTGTTCTCTTTAGAGCAGAGAAAGTCGATGGGATTCATCATAACCATAGGTTTAAGGTGACAGGGGAAATGATTTAAAAGGGACCTCAGGGGTAACTTTTTCACGCAGAGGGTGGTGCATGTATGGAACCAGCTGCCAGAGGAAGTGGTGGAACCTGGAACAATTACAACATTTAAAAGGCATCCGGATGGGTATATGAATAGGAAGGGTTTAGAGGGATACGGGCGAAATGCTGGCAAATGGGAGTAGGTCAGGTTGGTATGTCTGGTCAGCATGGATGAGTTGGACTGAAGGGTCCGTTTCTGTGCTGTACATCGCTATGACTCTATAAGAAATGTCCACAACTAAGACCATTGATGGGAAGAAAGCATTTTCCACCGGGAAGGGGTCAGTAACCAAAAGGACACAGATTTGAGGTAAGGGACAGCCTTCTGTAATGCAAGATGATGATTTTGCATTGTGGTGGTCAACTGGTAAGCACCACCAGGTGTGGCTCAGCAACCTCACTCTGGTAAAGGTGTCTCTGCTGCATATATGTTGTAAAAGGGAGACAGTGGGTTGAAAAGGTGTAGGATTTGATGGCCTCTGATTTACCACTGAGCTTTGTGTTTCTGCTTGCCTCTTCTAAAGCAGTCAACAACCATCTCCTACTTGTCGATGTCTACCACCTTTACATGTCACATGTAGCTGCCTTTGGAGCACTGGTGTTGGGTGTCCAGGAATGGGAGACCAAGTGGCTTGTACACCATACAGAAGGTCTTTATGCAGATGGTCAGCACCCTTCGGATGACATTGACACACCCAGTGCACACATCAATGAGTGTATGCCAACAGAATTAGTACATTCCATGGCAATATTGTTGGCACTTCTTCGCTAAACATGTCTCAAGGTAGAAACTGAAATAACCTCCCCCCTAATATATCAACTTCTCACTTTGCTCGTGTCATTTTTCCTGCAGCTGCTGGACTGAGAAGTTTGTATCAGCTATAGATCTTCCAGTTCAGACTGGGTTTGGCAGGCTGACTGAAGGCAAAATGGGCAAATACTTCTCCCATGGTGGTCAAGAAGGTATGGGTGAGCGTTTTTGAGAGAAGGGGAGAATGGTTACAGCAGAGAATGGTAAGTTTTAAAGGAAGACTGTGTGAACGCCAAGTTAGAAACAGAATCCAGGAAAGGATTGGGGTCAAGGACACAGCACATCTAGCAGCAGCTGATCAGAAAAAGAGAGAAAGATCTCAGGATATTGTTACTCCGGTTGTATGTAATTACACAAAATGCAAGCTACAGACGGCTGCTCATGTTACTGATTTAACAAACCAACCGATCAGTTCCTGAATGGATGCTTCCACAGTGTCTAGATTCTCCTCAGAGTTGCTGTTAGTAATTTCACTGGTGGTGGATTCATCGTCATCCGACATCTGTGACAAAGGAAAGTGACTTAGATTTAATGCGCATTTAAAAAGCAAATGACAATGAACTCATTTTGGGCTTACTTCTTCCTCACCCCTCTCTGCACAGACCCTGGCCTACGTAAATCTGTTTAGACCACACCTATTTCATTCTTGATAGATGCTACCTTTTGTGCAATCAAAGAATTAGGCTGAAATCTTTTGATCCCTTACGTTACCCAAACAAATCTCCAACTCATTTACCTCGTTGTCAGAAGAGCACGCTGACAGCAACACGTCCTCAGCATCAAAGAACTCAACGTGTGACTCAGACAATGATGCATTGCTGTCTAAGGACAGCTGTTGAGCCAGCGACCTGTTACAAGGCATCTAAAGATAACGTTTTGAAAAAAGAAAACATCAGCTTAACACATTCAGAGGCACTCTTAACCTTTATGCTATTTTGTAAACAGTTCTCAGGATCATAGCCTTTCCCACTGCCCTCAATACACTTTTTTTAAAAAATCCATTCATGGGATGAGGGCATCACTGGCCAGGCCAGCATTTATTGCCCATCCCTAATTGCCCAGAGGGCAGTTAAGAGTCAACCACATTGCTGTGGGTCTGGAATCACATGTAGACCAGACCAGGTAAGGATGGCAGTTTCCTTCCCTAACAGACATTAGTGAATCAGATAAATTTTTCTGACAAACAACAATGCTTTCATAGTATTCATTATCAAATTCAAATTTCATTATCTGCTGTGGTAGGATTCAAATCCAGGTCCCTAGAACATTACCTGGGTCTCTATTAACAGTCCAGCGATAACAGCCCTAGACCATCACCTCCCCCGGTCTTGTCAGCACATCATAAACAAGTTACATAAGGCACTGGAAGAAGCTGCAGAGTGGAATTAGAAGGATGACACCAGAAATGGACGGGCATTGATTGAGGACTGATAGGCTGGGTCTCTTTTCACTTGAAGAAAGTAAACTGAGGGGTGACCCAATAGAGATATCTAAAATAAGGAAAGATTTTGATCTAGAAAGAATGTTTTTACTCCCGTGAGGAGGAGCACAACCAGGAGGTCATCAATATAAAAGATAGATATCAACAAATCCATCAGGGAAATCAGAAGAAATGTCTTTCTCCAAGTAGTGGCGAGTAAGTGGAACTTGCTACCACAAGGAGTTGGTTGAAGAAAACAGTCAAGATACACTTAAGGAGCAACTAGACCAGAACAGGAAGCAGGAACAAGGTGATTTTGATGCTCGTGAACCTAAATGAGAAAAGTGGGAGGAAGCTCAGATAGAGTATAAACAAGACCCTGGGCAACCCGGCTCGTTTCTGATCCTCATGTTGTTGCACATCCTTTGAGCAAGTCTTCCAAAGCTAAGATAACATGTTTTTACCACTACTCCAGTTCTGCTGCACAAGATAACAAGCTCAATATTTATTTTTGCTTCAACAGTGTATTCCAGTTTGTACAGAATCATCAAGAACAAAAGCAGCCAATTGTGCCTGAGCTGGGTCTGTGGAAGAATTCCAACGCCCATATCCCCAACAATTTTCCATTTCAGATCAATACCCAATTGCCTTCTGAAGATGACTAAATAACACCTGGGAAGGAGGGGAGGATTTTGTTTTTACATGCAGCAAGTTCTGTTGATTTGGCACGTGCCAGAATGTGTAAGTTCAGATAATTCTAAATAATAACTTTAAGAAAGTTGGATGTGCACTTTGAAGTGGAAAAAATCTGAAGGGATATGATTAAAGAGCAGGTAAGTTGGAAAAGCTGATGATTCTCAGGGCTGCCCAAGCACAGCAAATTGAGCGGCCTCTTCCTGTGCTACATGGCCCAATAATCAACTCCTATGCAGAGGGAAACAGGAGAATATCATGAAAATTCCCTTTCTTCAGGCAGATATTGCAAGATTCTTAGTCCAGCAGCACAAGGGCTCTATGTCAGAATACCCGCCTTTGCATGCCAAACACATTGGCACCTTATTTTCAAAACGCGTTGTTATTTGACTTAAGCCAAATTGTACTAAACAGGATAACTTGAGTAAGCATTTCCAACACACCAGGACATCTAAAAATTTTACTGACCTCAAGTGGATACAGTAAACAAAATGAAATCAGCTGAATCATGATCACCGGACAAAAGACTGCACGGTAACTATCAATTAACAACATCTTTTGGAAAATGTGTGCTGGACTTGAAAGTAAATTTCCTAGGTGACGCACAGACTAATCCTTATAACCGAACGGACCTGCTTCTCTGCTGATTATTCACACCAGACGCTGGACGTCCACGTATCAGTTATACCAAGGAGAATCGTGCAGGTCAGTGAATCACTGTTAGGAAGGTGAGGAGTGAGAACTCAATCATCAGTTTAAACACAGATTTTTCATTAAGCTTGCAGCTCCAGGAGTGCAGCCCTACAATGGAAATCTTCAATCTCTGTGCAGCGCCTTCCTGTTAATGACGCCACCTCTTCGCAAGCTAGCGAATGATGACCAACAACACTGTTTCAATGGCCATTGTAGCCTAGAAACAGCAAGCTTACACAAACAAAAATAAGGACAAATGAATAAAAAGGTCCATGCCAGTGTTTACAGTCCAAACAAGCCTCCTTGCACCTTCTCAATCCAACTCCATCGATCTATCCTATTAATAAACTCCCTTTGGGTACCTACCTAGCTGCCCTTTGAAAGCAGCACATGTGGCAGAAAGGAGTGGGATTAATAGGTCGGCACAACATTGTGGGCCGAAGGGCCTGTACTGTGCTGTACTGTTTTATTAACAGGATTAGATGAAAACAGCACCATCGCTAGAGATGTATGTTGACGACCAATGAACATACAGCCATTTTAAAAATGCTCTAAATCATGCATTCCCATTGATGTAGATGGACCTAGCTGTTTGCCAATGAGATTGATTAAAAACAAACTGAATACAAGATCTCTAGTGCTCAGTAGGAGGATTCTGGTTTACCTCTTCAGCTTTGACAGGAGTCAGTGGATCAGTCACTACATCTGTAAAGCTGGACAGGCACTGGATTCGGTGCAGACGATTTCGGAGATCAGCATTCTGAGACATGACCTAGGGACATTCCACAGGTTAATCTCACTGAGGTAAACAGAATCTTGCTCAAATAAGAGATACCTTGGGTTTGCGGGATAGTCAAACTCTAATGCTCGTTTCTTCATATGCTACTGTACAGAACTGAACTGTTTCAGTGACTAATCATAAAAATATCTTTATACACACAAGGTATATTTTTGAAATAAAAAAAATTTCATCAATTAGTCTCAACAGAGTTTCACTTCAAGACAGGGTTTACAATAGCGTTTTAATTACCCGAAGCTTATGATGCAGAGTGGTGTTGGTGTTGGTGTTGGTGTTGGAGGGCTTTCAACCTGTTAGTCAAACTTGTATAGTGCAAGTTTCCGAAGATAACAACAGAAATTGCTGGAAATGCTTAGCAGGGCGGGCAGGTTCTATGGAGCGAGTAACAGAGTTAATGTTTCAGGTTGGAAGAATCATACTCCACTTGAAACATTAAATCCATTTCTCTCGCCATAGATGCTGACAAGTCAGATGCAGATTCAGTAGTAACTTTCAGAAGAGACGGAGTTGGATATGTACCCGAAATGGAGAAATCTGAACAGACGGTAGTCAAAGAGCAGGTGAGATGGAAGATTCAGAATTCCAGGATCCGCAGGTAATTTGCTTTTATTACAGGCAGGAACATACATGGGTACGCGTAGCAGGGTAGTACAGCAGGAACCTGAGCAAGAGGGACAGAATAAAGATATTCTCACCTCAGATAAGGTGTTCTTTAGGTGCGTAATCTGAATGGTTGGTGTAGTCTCCAGTTCCTTCTCCCGCCAGATCTGCTTCAATTTCTCCCTCTCGATCGCAAGGGTGTTGAAGAGGGACTTCAAACCCGAATGAACTGGAAGGAAAAGGGGAACAGAAAAGGTGGTGATGCAGTTCACAGAGGCACTCAGTCTTTTTAAAGTGAGCACATCCTTTTAATTTCTCATTCCTTTCCTCCCCCATGTCACGCTCACCAAACAAACTGCACAGTGCACAGATGAATAGTGAGAGGTGGGGCTATTTCGCTGTTGCACTCAAACGGTCAAACAGATTTTGTGTGTGCAAACCTCGCCACTCCTCCTCTAGCCCCTTTGGTGGTGGGAGTGGTGCAGACTCAGCATCATATTACAATGGTGACAACTGCGTTAGGCCCTACAAAGTGTGCAAATTGGCAACGTAGCAATTTATATTGCCTTCCTTTAGACAGCATGACTATCTTCTGTTCTGAGGATTTCCCCCAAGCTGCTCAGCCAAGATGGAGAACTCAATTTAGAGTATGGCTTACAAGGGGAAAGCAACAGCAGTATAGTGGTAGCGTCATAAGAACTCAAAGGGCCAGGCTAATACTCGGAGGTCATGGGTTCCAGTCCTGCCCACAACAGCTGGTGAGATTGAAATTCTTATGGTCTTTGCTTCACTACATGGTCTGCTGATAGGAGAGACATTGCATTCCATTGCTATTCCTACCCCAAATGGTCAACTCAAACACAATGGCATAGCCCACACTTTTCAACAGGATAAGAATTAAACCTCATGGGAAAAGTTTAAACCACACATTAAAATAATGCAGTCCTGTTCGCAAAGCCAAATAGAACAGGGAAATGATTTGTGCCTCACTGTTGTGTGTGTCTTTTGACTGGCTTTTGGTATTTTTGCCAGTTTCAAAACAATGCTGTTGCTGATTAAAGATTTAAAGAGAAATCCAAATTCCTTTTTCAAACACTTGAATGTCATAAGATCTCATTCAAAACTGTTGTACATAAAGGAATTAAATAAAGCAAGCACGATTAACTTTACAATATGCATACAACTTAATTTGTTCTGCACTCTCTGATTTACTTCCTGCTTTTCCCCTGCACGCTCCAATATTTCTTCTATCAGACTTATTCATTTTAGGGCCCACCTTTAAGTATGACAGTCCTGTGGAGAACTGCCTCAGCTCCACCTACTCTCCGAGGTGAACCTTTCACTTTCTCTCTACTCTGGAGGGCTCAGTTCCTTTGTTTGGTTATTTTTACAATTCATCCAAGCTAATCTGGTTGCTTTCTTTTGCATTGAGACACTGAGGCCTATTGTAGATGGCAGTCCTATAAGTACTGCCCCTCAAAATTCAAACCGAGATGAAGCCACACCTGTCTCCAGAAAGACAATAATGAAGTTGGTGTTAGATTCCCTTCATACTGCAACTCTATCTAACTGCTATTTACTTCAACTAACTCTCAGTGAGGTACAAACCACACAATATTTAAACAGCAATGTGAAAAAAAAACCTATCCCAGCAAATGACCTGATAAATTGAAACCAGAGAGCTCCAACCATTTCCATGATGACATAGCCTGCACTGGACTACCCTCAAACTGATCTTCACTAGTTATCTCTCATTTGCAATTTATCCAAATAAGGAAGCCCATTGTTCCACACCTCGCATTCCCCTCAACTCACCAAGTACTTCTGTTTCTCTCTATTCTGTCTTGATGACACAGACATGTGTACATTTCTAAACAGTTTTTAAAAAATGCATTCTAGCAAACTCTAAACTGAATGTTTTAATTACCATCACAACAACAACACTCCTAGCTTCCCAGAATTAACTATTATGTTTAAAATATTAACATGGACCATGAACTAGACATTCGCAGCAACATCCATTTCTCAAGGGGACATTCGTCATTAATTATTACATGGAATTTTCATTTCATTTCTTAAAGGCAAGATAGCTACGCATTTAGGACAGTGTCCTGACTTGGAAAGATATTGCCATATATTTCTTCATGGTCATTGGGTCATGTCCTGGAATTTGCTCCCCAAAGGCATTATAGGTCCACCTACAGCACATGGACTGCAGTGGTTCAAGGCAGCAGCTCACCAACACCTTCTCAAGGGCAACTAGGGACAGGCAATAACCGCTGGCCCAGTCAGTGGCACCCACATCCCATAAGTGAATTTAAAAAGGGAAAAAAAAAGCACAGAACACTGAAGAAATTCAAGTTTTGTGGCATCTGTGGAGAAAGAGAGGGGAAAAAAAAAGAACTTGTTTGACAAAGCAGAGTTGCTTTAGCCTGCAACTGCAGTGTGATAACTCCCAGTATGATTGAATGGGCAGTGTTGGCATAACGAGTAAGTGTCCAAGAGTAAAGTCGGAGCCAGAATTGTGACATCAGGAAGCAAGGCTGTTGAGCCTTGTATATCTATGATGCAAATTGTCAAATATTGAAGACTTCAACCAGTTACAACTGCCAGTTGGCATCAACAAGTATTCCAACAGCCACACTTGGCTGCTAAAAAGACAGTCCTGTGTCCACCCTATTCCTTACTCAACTGAGTTTGCATTTTGCACCTGCAAAGAACTATGCTTTGTAACAGAAAGAGCTGTAAGCTCAAACCACCCCTCAAGCTTGTTCCACAATTTAGCTGGATCATGGTCCATGTGTACCTCACCTCCATTTACCCACTTTTATTACATTTACCCTTTAATAAAAAATATACCAATGCCAGCGTTCAGCGTTTCAACTGTCTTCTGGGGGAAAGAATTCCAGATAATCTGAGAAGTAGAGGCAGACCATCCCAGAGAGATGTCAGAAAGCATTTTTACACAAAGGGTGATAGATGTTTGGGACGCTCTTCCACAAGTAGTCGACGCTGAATCAGCTGTTAATTTTAAATCGGAGATAGATAATCTTTGTTAATCCGGAGTAGTAATGGCACAGATCGGTTATGATCTCACTGCATGGTGGAACCAGGCTCAAAGGGCTGAATGACCTACTCCTGTTCCTATGTCTCTTTTTCCACTACTTCGTGTGAACTGGTTCCTCACTTTCCTGTCAAATGGTCAAAACTGACTTTACGAATAAACTACCAAGCTCTGGTTGCCTCTAACAAAACAAGTAGTTTATCCGTATCAAAACCGTTCCATTATTTTGATTGCAGAACCTCAATTATCCTTCAACACTTTAAATTGAAGAGAATACTGTATTTCCACCTATTTTCACTATTTATTAACTTAAATCTCAGCAACAGACAGAGGAATCTGTGCTGTACCCTCCCTGAGGGCTAACCTGTATGGTGCTCCCTCACTGTTACCTTTCTGCGATACAGAACAGAAATCCTGCTGTAGCTGAAAATAATCTTCTTTGATGGTCATGGGAACGGAGACACTTTTCCAGTCCAGGCAGTCAGGCAAACTGGGTGTGGAGACATGCAACTTTGCAGAACGTATGACATCGGAGGTGGTCTAGAGTGAAAAATATTGTTAAAACATAATGTAAACAGATACAGTCATCATTTGGAAAAAATGAAGAAAATCCGACCTGCCAGCCTGGAGAAAAGGCTCATAGACATTAATATTCCACTCAGGAAATAGAACTGTCCTATATTATAATTATGGGCCATGGAATGTACAATGCATGCTTTCCAATGCAGAGGCTGGACTTCAAAAAAAATTCTCTCCCCCATCACCCCATAATAACAAGTTGAATAACATTACGATTGGTCATTAAGTCTGTTGTTTTCTACATAAAAGATTTCTCTGTTAAACCTGCAGGCATAGTTTCCATCCTCTTGTTAGCTTTCATGCCTCATGCTCTGCTTGATAATAGGCCCTTCCTGCTTTATGAAAATTGCTGGCACATCATACAAAGCAATAGCCAACTCTCAACTGCCAACAGCAGTATGCGACAAGTCCAGTCCCAGGTTTCTGACGCTTTACACAATTTCTATACAAAACATATGGACTTTAACTGGATTTGACCTTGACTAGAATCAGCCTTCTCACATCTTGGAAATTACTTGTGTTGCTACATGCTTCCAAGCCCACTCTAATTTTCTCTCCTGAAGATGGTGTCTCTTAGCTACTTGTCTGCCAGAGATTCTCCAGTACCTTTTCCAAGTCACCATTCTTCATGTCACAACCAGGCCAACTGTTGTCTTCACCTGATGCACAGGGAAGCATACATCCCCATGAGTCAACAGAAAGCAGTCAGGACCAGGCATCATGTCTCATTTCCCCGCATCTCTAATTCGGGACTACTGTGGCAATAAGTTTCTAAATGTTGCAAACCCAGGTTGGCCATCAAGCCTGGCCTTTCAGGTTCATACAGTTTAGGGGAGATGGTGGCAGCGTGGCAAAAGTTACCAAAATGAGTAATCCAGAGGCGCATGTTAATGCTCTGGGAATAGGGGTTCAAACTCCACCACAGCAGCTAGTGAAACCTGAACTCAAATAATGCAATCTTCAAACAAAAGCTGTTGTGTTGTGCCTCACAATTAGTATACCTTTAAGGGACACATTCGTCATATCATCACTGCATCTTGGCATGTGACCCAAGGGTATAAAAGATCTCATACTCCATCTTACCATGGATCACTTTGAAGCATGTTTGTAACTTGATAGTTTAATTTTAGCCCAGACACATATGAGTCTCAAGAATATAATGTTCGTATGTAATAGTTAGTTGTAATGATTGAAAAATGCAGCAGTCAACATCACGATGTCCACATCCAGTTTCTTATGGTACAGGAGGCAAGATAAAGGACTGTCACGTCAGATAAAATACCCTGCTGGAGGCAGGTTCAGTCACGGTGACCATAAGAGTGACCAATTGTCGTTTAACAAAAAAAAATGTCCTTTAGGAAGGACATCTGCTGTCCTTTACACAATCTGGTCTATACGTGACTCCTGACCCACAATAATGCAGTTGTCTTTTAACTGCCTCTGAAATGGCCAGGCAAGTCATTGCATTTGGGCAATTATGGACAGTAAACAAATGCCAAATCTCTCCAGAGCAGCAGATTTCCTTCCCTAAAGGACATTAAGCAAATTAGAGTTTTTCTTTACAGCAATTGATGGTAGTCTCAGTAATAAACCTAACTTTTGACTGCACATTTATTTATTGATTTTACTTTCCACCACCATTCATTATGGTAATTAAACCCATTCCCCAGAGCATTAGATTGGAATTCTGGATTACTAGTCCAGTGGCACTGTCCCTGTACCACCATCTCCTTCCCTCTAATCCTACATTCTAGCAGTTTATTTTTTAAACAGGAATTTTTGCTAACTTTTGTAAGGCAACCTGGAGTCCTCCAATAGTGCTTCATGTTCAATGAGTTATTTCTAAAGTCTAACTGCTCTCATGATGTCGTTAAACAAAGGGGCTACTTTTGCCAGAAGCAAGGTCCTGCAAACAGCCAGTGGCCAGATAATCTGTTCAAATGGCATGATTAAAGCCAGGAACATCAATAAGAAGAATCAGAAGAATTTCCCTATTCTCCATCAAAATACCTCCCTAACATCGTTTGTGTGCACCTACCCTGGTAGGCTAGGCCTTGGTGTAATACCTCATCAGAAAGATGGCTCCCTCCATCAATGCTGGTCTCCCTCTGTACTGCACTCAAGTGTTAGCGTACACTAAGTACTCAAGTTATGGGGTGGGTGGGGTGAACCTGTAACCCTCTGATTTGGAGCTTAAGCATCACAACTTGGGTCATGTTGGCTGACATTTTGCTGCTGAATTCCTCATTTAAAAAGAATGTTTCACTCAAGAATGATTCTACAGGTTTACCCTCATGGGAGTTGCACATTACTGCAATCAGCATAAAGCAGCCATTGAGAGATCACGTTCAGATGACCATTCCTTTCTTCAAGTTTAAACATGTGGGTTGCAATCAAGCCAAGAGTCATTGTCTCATATTGTCTGCTTAGTATTTTAATAAAGGCCATTAAAAAAAAGACAAAGTAAATAGATTAATTCCAGCAATAGCTGAGAAATCTCAAAAGGACACGTTCGTAATTCTGTTCTTAATATCACACAGGGCGGATTCATTCCTACAATGCCTTGGAAACAATGCGATATTCTGAACTTAATGTATTCAAAATGGAATAGGACATGAATCAAAGAGTTGAGTCAGGATAGATTCACAATGATTTTGAGTTAGGCACTGATGTGAAAAAACCCTTTTCAGCTATCAATTTCAAACGCCCCTTTTGTTTTGAACTGCTTAGTTTTTAAATTGAACCGCACACAAGATCAATGGCCAAACAAGTGAATCTCCCTAATTTTCCTCCTTTCTCTGAAGTCAGAGCTTCAACTGGAATGACTCCAAATACTAAGCACATACTCCTTGTGGTAACTCCAGTGCAGTGCCGAGGGAGTGCCGATAGTCAAAAGATCCTTCAGATGTGAAGTGCCCTGTAAAACTTTGGGCCAGTATTTAACGTTTGTTAGTCTTGATGTGGTGCGTAGTCGCACTCATATTCAATTCAAAGGGTTTTCGGTTCAAGTGCCACTCGAGACTGGAACACATAATCCACGTAAAAGTAGCAGTGCGGTACTGAGGGAGTGCTACAATGACAGGAGGTGCTGCCTTTCAAATAAGGCAATAAATTATGGCCTGAATGTACTTTTTAAAACATTAATGCAAAAGACCCAGTGAAACTTTTTGAAGACAATCAGGGTATTTCTCAACGTCCTGGTCAACATTTAATCTGGAGTCAAGGCTTGATCCGACTTGGAAAAGATCGAGGGGCTGAGTAACCCAGGCCGATATTCCTCTGGAGGTTAACAGAATGAAACGTGATCTCATTGAAACAAAAACCATTCTGAAGAGGTTTCACAGCTCCAACAGGGAGGTTATTTCCCCTTGCTGGGGAATTGGGAACATGCAGGGGAATGGAGGGGTGGCAGTGGGTGGGTGGGTTGTGGGGGGCGGCGAGTCGTGGAAGTACAGCCTCAGGGTAAAGAAGGGCATGAGATCACTTAGGACCAAGATGAGGAGCAATTTCTTCACTGAAAAAGTGAGACTGGACCTCACCAAATATGAGCTTCTACTGATTTGGGGCAAGATTGTTTTCGCTTTTTCCTCTACTCCCAAGCCCAGGATCATGAATCTAAAGGATACCGATAATTGAAACTGCCGGGAGAACTAGGGCTCTAATGGCAGGGCAATATAGTTTCCCTACCTCTGGGCCAGAAAACCTGGGCTCAAGTCACACCTGCTCCAGCATAAGTTCGGTAATTCTGCATTAACTTAGAGCTTGGAGAGAAAACTGCTGCTAAAACGAGGGAACACCAGACTTAAAGTTCAGATGACTTTCTACACAGAGTGGAATTGTCTTTATTTCAGGTAGAAATGCTAATCAAACACAGTACCTTAGTCTCATCTTTTGCAAAACTTTGGGTGCACCATATTTTGGAGGAGCGTTTTTCCTTTTTCGGTTTGTCAGTGAGGAAACCCTGTGGCAATTCAAAAAGCAAAAATATATTTTAAAAATGGCAAATGCAGCAGATTTACATCAAGTAGAACAACAGCCTTAAATTCAAAAAGGCACTCAGTTTGGGAACTCCATTACACACTAACTTTAGGAACTGTGGCTAAAATTAACAATTAGTGTCCCAAATTAATTTGTAACACGATGTCAGAGAAAAAACAAGTAGTGGTATCAAACACACCCTGTCACAGATGGGATTCCTGGAATATGCTGTCTTCTTAGAAATAAAGTTTTTTTTTCACTCCTTCCTCCCCCTCACTCTCTCCCATTTCCTTAAATCAATGCTGTTGCTTTATAGGCAAGAGATGCACTCTGGTATTTAGTTGTTATGTATCAGAGAATGCAAATACTTCCAGGAAAGGAGCAGTTTTGCAGTGTTCAGGAGCCAGTCATCCTACTGATTGCTCTCGGACTCCAAGACAGGACCAAGGGATCTTACTGGTCTAAAAGACTCCAAGTTGGTGGGAACAAGGGGTTTCGGAATCTCAAAGTTACAAAAACCTTGCACCAATTACACCATTTCCCTCCAAAGTAGCTGCCGCTTTTCTGCTCAAGTTACAACTGATGGGAATCTTCTGGGCAACAATTCACCGTCATGACTTCACTGTAAACTTGCATCATCAGTGTCTATCCCCATCTTTTATTGCATGTAAACAGCACAGGCATGGCTACATATGGCTTTGGATCTTTTCTGTGCTATATCATTCCTTAAAACCGTCCAATACAATCCACTTAAATTTTACATTTTCTTTACATTGATTATTCAGAAGAGAGAGTGTAGCAAATTTCCCACAGATTTGCAATCAAACTGTATGCACACTAACAAAAGGAAGTACTGTCTTTCGCTCAGAGAAAGAGAAGCAAGTAATAATTCTCTGAGAGATAAGTGCTCCCTTGATGATCAATTATAATTGGAGCAGTGGATTACAAAACAAGCTGTCTGCTTTTAATTTCAATGCAATTAATCCCAACTCCCTTTCATACAATAGCCAATTTAAAATCCCTCATTTCTGATTTAAATAATTTACAGCCATAACTAACCTGAATTTATGACTGAAGTGAGTTGCTGCATCTTCAGCCTTAACATCTACTGCCTTCTCCTGATGCACACAAAATAAGAATAGCTGGTTTCGTAACACTGCCGTAGCTTTTTCAAATGTCATGTCGCCCACATTCTCCAGGGCAATTGGGAATGGCTAATAAACGCTGGCCCAGCAAGAGATGCCCACATCCCATAAATAAATCATTAAAATAAATTACTCTGGTTCCTTTCTATCAACACTTGTTTTATGGTGACCTACGGTCCTCCATTCTTCCTGCACCCGACTCTTCCTGAGGTGCTCGTTCACAGTTGCCAGCAGATTTTTGCTAGCTCAACCAAACGAGCACTCCTTCTGAAACAGAGTTTCAGCAAGCTGACTGTGGCAGGCATCACAGTTCCAGTCCTGCTCTCATCTGTGAATATACCCTCTGCAAACTGGAGGAGCGGCGGCTGCTTTAAAGGCAGAAGCTCATGGCTGTGCAATATCATTTGTCTCATACCTGAGCATCTCCGATGACGGGTGCTGAGTGAACTCTGTCCACCACCTCCAGCCTCTGCAGCAGTTTATTCAACTCTCCCAGGTTCGACTGACATTCACTGAGATCTAAAAGATTCAAGAACACACAAGATTTGTAAACAAGGTGGATACGCTGTGTACAAGCACTTATCTCCAAGGCTCGCGTTGAAAACCCAAGGAATCAAAAATGCTTTTCTTCGCAGAACATTGGTTCCCACTTTGAGATCCGATATTGGTCAGACAAATGCTTTCCTTTTGCTTTTCCTTTCAGCTCAGGCTTCTCTCCCTACCCTGAAGGCACCAAACAATGGTCAAGTAGGTTTGAGGGGGCTAGCATTCATTTAGAAATGGTTTAATGCTCATTTTCAAATCCTTCCATGTCCTCACACCTTGTTATCACTAACCCACTCCGGCACCAGGACTCAGATGTCCTACACTCATTTAATTCTGTTCCTTTCAATATTCCCAATTTTCATCGCTATCACTGGTACCTAGCCAGGGATTCAGGCTCCAAGGTTCTGGAATTCCCACTTAAGTCACTGCCTCGCTATCTCTCTCCTCTTCAAGGTCACCCCTAGCTCTTCTGGTCACCAGCCCCAAACAATGCATCACACAGCTCATTGAATTTTGCCTCCTAACATTCGTGTTAAGAACCTGCTAATGTTTTATTCCATGCAAGTTGTGATGCACAAATACCGTCAATCTTCTCAAGCGAGTCCAAATGAAATCAGGTTATTTGGTAACATCAAAATAGCTACGTTTCTGCACTCACCATGAGTACACTTTCCAATAAGGAAACACAGACAGAGATGAGGAGCAGGGAACTGAACCCATTTTGCTTCTACAAGAGACTGAAGCTGGGGCCAGCTCATACTTAATGCACTCAGTTAGAGCTGAGAGCTTAATCCTGTGATTGAGGGGCACTGAAGGAGGAAGAAGCATTTCTCCGAGCTTATGAACTAATTGCTGTTCTTCTTTGGGAATCAATGCCGAAAGAGGCGCAGAATTTATTTAGACAGAAAAGATATTCCGAGGTATCTGCTGCCAATTACAATGTAGATCGTCTACAAAGAACACTGGGCATGTGAACAGGTTGATATCAACGAAGAGAAATTGGAGGCCTTGTGGGCCAGCAACTCTGGGTTCTTAACTCACAGCTAGATGGCCACAGCAAGTTGATTATTTTTTTTTTATTTTAATTCATTCACAGGACGACAGCGTTGCTGACAATGCAGCATTTATTGCCCTTCTCTAATTGCCCGGAGGGCAGTTAAGAGTCAACCATATTGCCATGGGTCTGGAGTTACATATAGGCCAGGCCAGGGAAGGATGGCAGTTTCCTTCCCTAAAAGGATATTACTGAACCAAATGGGTTTTTACAACAATCTACAATGGTTTCACTGTCATCATTAGACTCCGAATTCAAATTCCACCATCTGCTGAGGCAGGATTCAAACCCGGGTCCCCAAAACGTTATCTGGGTCTCTGGACTTACAGTCCAGCGATAATACCACTAGGCCATCGCCTCCCTTAGCAGCAATCGTGTTGATTATTAAGCTGTCAATCATTCCAATAAACCCACGGAGACTGGGAGTGTCTCCTGGTCAGCTAGCTTGTGATAGCTGCAGTACAACAGCTTCCCACATTAAACGATGCCACACACGTTATTGACATGGGCAAGCATCGCCATCATTGGGAGACACACTCATACTCACACTGACAAAATTACCTTTAGCACAGTGATCCCATTCTTCAGACTGCTGTAACCATGGTAACGACATCGCCTGTCCACTTACAGGCACTGAAGGAAGCTGATCATTGTCTTTGAAGATATCCTCACTGAAGGAGTCTCTTTTCTGTGCCTAAACAATCAAGGAGATATTGGCTCCACAGAAACACAGCACTGACAACAGACAAGACTTCAACATTTTTTCAAAATGGGTTACATCACTGGCCCAGATTCTGACACAATCACACGGCTCAGACACGTTGGACCAGCAGTTGTTGTTAGCTCTCTGGTGCCTCACCTATTTCAAGGTCTGAGGTCCAGTGTGGACTTATTGGGCCGAAGGGCCTGTTTTCACACCGTAGGGATTCTACGATTCTATGATGATCTAAGTGCGATAGTGGAATTCTGGCAGTGACGGGAGAAAGCCAATAGAATACACATTATCCAAACCCAATTGTCTCAAGGAGGAGGCATTGAGATGAGATTTTGACGAGCTGCAGTGTGTCAAGTCAGTACAGAGCTGTTAGGAAGAGATTTCTATGATTTTTACCCAGCAACAATGAAGGAACAACAGTCCAGTCCAAGTCAGCACCGTGCGCGACCCGGAGATCTCTCAGGTGGTGATGCTCCCATTTATCTGTTGTCCTTGTCCCTCAAAGTGGTAAAGATTGTGGGGCAGAAAGATGTCACCATAATGCCTTGTGGATGGCACACACTGCTGCCACTTCGTGCCAACAATTGAGGGAGTGACTATTTAAGGTGGAGGTAGGGGTACCAACCAAGCAGAGTTGTGTGTTCTATAAAGTGTTTTTCACAACCTTAGGAAGTTCCAATGCTCCTTTAAAACTTCAACTACTACACTGATTTCTCTGCTTCCTATATTACGACCAATTGGTGCACAGCAAGCCGTCACAAATTGTACTTTAATAACATTGATTTTTCTTTTAAGCAAAGTTGCTTAACTACTGCATCTATCACAGCAAAGGCGATTCATATCTTTATTGGCAGATTTACCAAACAGTAAACAAGCTTAGCTAGGGGTAGAGTTCAAATCCAGTAGAAACAGCCAAAGTTTTTCTCAATACTGAGTTCAAATAGAAGCGAATATTAAACAGGAATTTACAGGTCCAGGGATGGGAGAAGCATATAAAGGCTTAGTCACAATATGGGTTTTAAATCTTTTAACGGTACAGAGATTATTTTTGTTGAATGAAGGGACAGGTGGCTCAAATGGCCTGCTCTTGCTCCTGTTTCTTATGAAACAAGCAGTTTACAACAAAGTCTGTTTGTTAATTTGTGCACAGGACGTGAGATTTAAAGCTGGTCTTGCCAGAGCACCATCGTGAAGAAGGGAGAGGGTGGAGTTTCTTGCTCCCTCAGACTGATCTCTTTCCTCCATGGAAAAGATTTCTCCCACCCCACCCCTCAAAACCAGCACAACCCAATCCAGGTGTCTTTAGTCTTGACACAGTTAAAGAAAAGCACGTTGCACAGCACGATTTCCACATTGGGCTATGATTGAGCTCTAGGAACAAGACCACAATGAGAAATGAAGATGAACATTCCTGTAGAAGCGGATGCACAGACACACTACAGTGACCTACCTTGTTGCAGAGAGGTAAAACAGTACTGGCTGACAGGAATTCTGCTGTCGGAGGGATGGAAAAGTTAAATCCGTTTGCTCCATATGGAACTTTAATGGGGTCACCTTTCTGGAACAGTCGGTGATAGCAGAGTTTGGAAACCCAGGTGCTGAAGACCTCCTGAGATTTCACCTGCAACAACACAAACAATATCATGTCTCGTAGTTTCCAGAATGCAAATACAAAAGTCTTCATCACACACACCTACTTGAGAGTTCATTAGTGACACAAGGTTCACTGGAGTGGTGTAACACAAAAGCTAAAAAAGCCAATTGCTTTGCCTCTTTGCAGCCATTTTGTTTTGAGATTCCTCAATGAAACTCCATGACTGTAACTGGACAAATACAAAAATACTACAGCAAGACAAACAGCAATACAGAGCACTGTGACTGTTCCAGTGTTACCTTTACTTCCACTCATAGGTAACAGAATATACAGCTCAGATTGTTGTATTGAAGCTTTTTGTTTCATTTTTGTGCTTTTAAAGACTGTGGACCAAAATGAGAAACAGCCATTCGTTTTAAAAAAAAAACAGTAGTGCTTGAACGAGCGGCTGCAGTTTTGAAAGCAAGCAACTTGACACCCCAGTCAAACATGGTGTCAACAACTGTCTGAACAAGCAGTAATTGAAGGTTGTTTGTGGATGATTTGGAACAGAGAGGTTGTACTGATGCAGTTTTTGCTGGCAACAAGTTGATTGGCCTATGGACTAGTGACCAGTTATCAATGACAGAGACCTTTTTGCCTGCCAACAACTGCACGATTGGTTCTCAGGTAACTGAACAGTTTGGGGCTGGGAACAAGTTACAGGAAGAAGTGTTCAGTTCTTCCCCAGTTTGCGAGTGGTCTTTCTCTTCTCTGCAGTCAAAACTCACTTTAAACCCTGAAGGAAACCTCCTTATCTTTCATGCAAGAGTTGCTATAAACGGATTTTCACTGACAAGTCAGAGACCTTTTATAAGGGAACCACCCACATGGCATCTCTTACTAATCTGCAGAAGCATCTGAAGAAAGATGATTGAAACAACGTGCTAGTAGGCAGAAACTTCAAAGAATATCTCAACAATAGAACTTGGGAACAAAGACTACTGAACTGTCTTTCCAGTTGGTCCTCTTTGTCCATAACCTATTTTATGTTGTTTGCCTGTGGAGGGAGAGCGTATAAGATTGTCTCTTGTACTTCTGCCAATTACCTCAAATCTCAATCCTGCAGACACTGAACATCTGTCACTGGAAATAGTTTCTCCTTGTTAACACTATCAAAACCCTTAACAATCCTGAACATTTCTACAGAACCTCCTTGCAACCTCTCTTGCTCAGGACGACAGACTCAACTTCTTTAGTCTCTCCACATAATCAAAGTCTCCCATCATTGGTATTAATCTGCAGAAACTCCCCTGCACCATTCCAAGACTTTGGTATTCTTCTTGAAACTTGGTGTCCAGAAATGAACTCAATGTCGGAGGTGGAGGTTTTAAAGGTTTTACATAACCTTTCGGTTTTCTATGTATTCCTCTAGTCATAATGCCAAGCATATGAAGGAAAATGTTGCATTGTAGGCACTTTTATTTCTTATTTCATTTGTACTTTCAATTTTCATACTTTTTCATTTGATTTTCCTCTTAGCTTACTTACTTGGTACCCAATCTCTACTTTCTCCAGTTTCAGGCTGGAAGACAAGCAACTTTCAAGTGTCTTTGATACAATAGCCAAGGAGAAACTGTTCCCAATGAAAGTGGACTCAAGTAGTCAGTGGGACAGATTTAAGGTCATTGGGGAAGACAAAGAAAATTTACAAAAAACAAACAAACAGCAAATTGCTATGCCCTGTATTTTTGTGTCCTGAAAGGGTTGTAGAAACCATATTCAAAAGCGATTGTGTGTATATCTGAATAAGGAAAGATTTGCGGGTCTACAGGGAAAAGCAGGAGGGTGGAACATATTGGCTAACTCTATCAAAGAGCCAGCAGTCTCAGTGGGTTGAATAGCCTCTTGTGCTGTGTAGATCCAGGGCTTTAATGACAGACAACAATAGTCACAGAACTGGGGAACCGATCAGAGGTTGTTAAAGATGGAAGTAATAAAATTCTTATCTCAAAATCAGGTTAAGTGATTGGATAAGTCAAACTAAATGATCAAAGGGAAAGCAATGGTGTAGTGATATGGGCTACTGATCCAGAATCCCCAGCTAATGTCTGAGAGCCATGATTTGAATCCCACCGCAGCAATTCAATAAAGTTGGTCTAATGGTGAATGTGTAACCATTATCAATTGTTGCAAAATCCCAAGGTTATGACCTTCAGGGAAGAAAATGTACCATCTTTACCCTGTCCGACCTACATATGACTCAAGATCAAGTACAATGTCATTTACTCTTAATTGCCCTGTGAACAATTATGGATAAGCAATAAATTCTGGCCTACCCAGCAATGTCAACATTCTAGCAACAAATAATAAAAATGTCACTGCTTACACAGCCTTATAAAAAGTCTATGCAGGAGGGTCAAAGTCAATTTTAACATGAATATCCGGAAAGTCTTCACACAAGGAGAGTGAGATGAATGTTAGCCTTGCCAGCAATGCTCACATTCCATGTACATATGCTAGAATGACACACCTTTCAAGCTCCAACAAGTTTATGTACATGCGGAGCCCTAGCAGGTTTAAGGCAAATATTATTTACCTTTAGATGATAGAGGTTCTCTTCTGCGTCTAAGTCAATGCGTTGGGATTTCTTGTTGATGGACATTACCGAGAGGCCAATGTTGATTGAGCCACGGAGCTTCCCTCTCAGTATCTGTGACGTTGACAAAAGTTATGGTTATTAGACGCTAACGCAGTTCCAAGTTATTTCAGATGAATTCTGTTGTAGCAATCACATAAACAGCAATCGAAGAGCTACTTACATCTTGCTGAGTCTTGGCGTACTTGAGAATGCCTCTTTCCAAGATAAAATACCTCTGAAAAAGACAAGAAAAGAAAACAGCTAATTTACACTCTTGGAAAACTTCATTTTTGTTTTAATTGCCTTGACCAAAGGTGGCAACTCTTGCCAGAGTATGGCCCTACAGGTAATTTCAGCCATATACCTCACCCATTTGTGTATTTTCTGAATGTGAAACTAGACAGTCAATGATTAGCTACTGCATGGTGGGATGCATCACAGCTAAACCCAACCCAAGTCTCACTCATAGCACGTCCAGCAGGATTTGCAAATTAATTTCTCCTGCACATCCCCCTTCTTCCCTCCACACCAGCCGCACACAGGAGCTGACAGGCTATTTATAGCAACACTCAGGATTCTGAAGAATCTCGATAAGGTGGATGCTGAGAAATTGACACATTGTTCGGGGAAATCAGAAACATTTGGGCACAGGCTCAGGATACGCGATCGATCTAGGAGTGAGATATTACTTCAAAGGGCTGTGAATTTATGGATACAGGTATTTTTGCTATAACGTGTGTTTCGTTAACGTGAATTGGCTGTAATGCGACTGATGAATAGTGGATGCTGTTTGGGTAACGCAAACTTTCTGCTGTACAGGTATAGTGATTTTCTATAGCGATTACCCTATAAACACGATTTTCCATAGTGTGAGGGCACACAAGAAAGAAACTATCGTGTTATAGGAGAAATAGCTGTCCCTACAGCTCCAGAGGATTGCGGATGCTCCGTTGAATGTATTTAAGGAATGTAGATCTCTTGGGGAATCAAGTGATGTGTGGAAAGGACAGAAAAGGAGTTGAACCCCAAGATGAACAATGAGCATATTGAATAGTAGAGCTGGCTCAAGAGCTTGAATGATCACACTCATGCTCCTAATTATTCACATTCAATTCTGGCTCCTGGCCCAGCTGAAGACAGCCAACTCATCCAGGATAGAAGCTGGACATTTCCTCATGTGTGTCCCACTACACTATGTGGTCATTGAATTCCACCTATCTGCCCGGGTGACCTTCAATTGGTGTACATGGGATAGAGGCTGAAGGAAGATCCACTTCTGTACAGTTCACAACATCCCACAAGTGAGAACAGAGGAAGACCGGACCCGAAACGTTAACTCCGTTTTCTCCTTCACAGATGCTGCCAGGCCTGCTGAGCTTTTCCAGCATCTTTGCTTTGGTTCCCGATTTACAGCATCCACAGTTCTTTCGGGTTTTTTTACCCCAAAAGTGAGTTTGAGTTTGAGTTATAAAGGAGAGGCTGGATAGGCTGGGACTTTTTCCACTAGAGCATGGGAGGTTGAGAGTTGACCTTAAAGCGAGGTTTTATAAAATCGTGAGGGGTACAGATAAGGTGAATGGCGGATGTTTTTTCCCTAGCGTGGGGCATTTTACGATTGGGGACATATTTTTAAGGAGACAGCAAAAAGATTTGAAAAAGACCCAAGGGGCAACTTTTTTTTAAAAACACAAAGTGGTTTAAGCGTGAAATGAACTTCCAGAGGAAGTAGTGAATACAGGTACAATTACAAAGTTTAAAAGACATTTAGATAAATAAGAAATGTTTGGAGGGATATGGGCCAAGCGCAGGCAGGTGGGACTGGTTTAATTTGGGATTATGTCAGCATGGACTGGTTGGACAAAGGGTTTCTGTGCTGTATGACTGTATGAATTTCTTTTCCCATTGCTAAAGATATCCTGAGGTTCTCTGTGCTGAACAGCATTTTGAGTTAACATTCAACAAACAGAAAATTAAAATATTTTAAAATAACAGTGCACAGGAGAAGGGGGAAAAGGGACTGCTCATTGGCTAAAGTGATGCAAGTCTAATTCCCATTTGGAAGATTCAAAGAAAAACCCATAACTGATGTTCACTAGTAACTAGTCTCCCAGGAGCTCAGCAAGTTCCCATCTGCAATAATAAAGAACCACACAGAGATGAGCTGAAGAAAGAGAAATGCTGGAAGAGAAATTCCACCAGAAAATAATCCCTCCAGCATTGCTTTGCTATAAATAGCATTAGAGAAACCTCTAGCCCATGCTACTATTGTCACTGCATGTATCTATAGAAATGTTAATACCATAAAACACTCCAAGGTATTTTGCAGGAGAGACATTAAAATTTGACACCAGATCATGTAAGAAAATATTGGAGATGATAATCCAAAGCTGGGTCAAACTGTTAGATTCTAAGGACTGTCTTGAAAAGAGAAAGGCAAGGTAGAGATGTGGAGGGAGGGAATTCCAGTCTTTAGGGCTTTGGCCACTGAAGGGCAAGGTCATCAATGGTGTAACAATTAAAATCAAATTCAAACAATTAAAATTTCAAGAGGTCAGAGTTAGAGGAATGCAAATATCTGTGTTGTGGAGGTGAAAGATTACAGGGAGGGAGGTATAAAACAAAGATGAGAGCTTTAAAATTGACACATTGATTAACTGGCTGCTAGCGTTGGTCATGAGCTCAGGGTGATGTAGACTTACTGTGAGTAAGGATAGGGACAGCAGATTTTTGGACGACCTCAAGTGTATGGAGGTACAACACTGGAGACTAGCCAGAAATCATACTCTTGCTGATGAGAGCGAGAACCCTATTAACCAAGCACTTAGAGAGAGAGGACAGCTTGATTTTAAAAACTGGAAGTACTAGGTAGAGGAGGACTAAAGAGTTTAACAGAAAATCCTTTGGAAGAAACATAGAGACTCTAACCTTGTGCCAGCCTTTCAGAGGCCATTTCCTCTTCTTCAGCAGGTATCCCTCTTGTCTCTCCAGATCCAGAGATGCGTGGCTGTTGCCAAGTGGCTCCTCCATCACTTCCCAGTTCTCGGAGTTCTAAACCAAAACAGAAAATACTGAGAAACATTAGTTGGTGCGCGTGGCTTTCGGTACATTTTCCTAACCCGCCTGAAAGCCTCGGCTGCTTCATTTCCTCCTATTTCAAGATAAGTGAAAAGAAAATCAATCAAGATTGGCAGTGTTTACTGAGCTGCAGTTTAAAACCAACAAAATATCTTCAGGGAATGTTTCAATGACACAGCAATTTAAACAAGCAGAAAAAGTATCCGCTAGATAAACAACGCTGTGGAAAGCAAACACTGCAACAAATGCAGGCAGACTCTCCTGACGGCCCTGCAGCTCCTGCTGTGATGCTTCCCCTGGCTGAACTGCTACTGACATTCTTCACCTGCTGCTCACATATTCAAACATTGGTATCATCCCAAGCCCAAGAGTAAAGCCTTCCCACTGGGGCAGTTATCTACTGTTCAGTCCTACCCTAACACTGGAGATAAACAAAAAGCATGTTCCATAGAATCATCATCGAATCCCTACAGTGTGGAAGCAGGCCATTCAGCCCATCAAGTCCATACCACCCTACAAAGAACATCCCACCCAGATCACCCCTACCCCATCCCTGTAACACCATTTCTCATGGCTAATTCACCCAGCCTGCATATCCCTGGACACTATGGGCAATTTTGCGTGACTAATCCACCTAAACTGCACACACCTTTGGACTGTGGGAGGAAACTAGAGCACCCGAAGGAAACCCACGCAGACAGAGGGAGAATGCTGCAAAATCTGTACAGAAAGTTGTCCAGGGTGGAACTGAACTGGGGTCCATGGCACTGAGAGGCAGCAGGGCTAACCACTGAGCCACCATGGCACAACCACTGAACCACACTTCCATCAAGAGAAATTGAAGCCTCTACAAACTGAATGCAGAATCAACTGAATTCTAGCTATTTTTTTTAATCAACTTGTTCAGAGTTGTTATTACACGCCTGCGAAGTAGGTGGAACCTGAGCCCAGACCTCCTGGCTCAGATGCAGGTTCACTGCCACTGCAAGTCAAGTCAAGAGACCCTCTAGACCTCATCCTACATTTGTATTTGAGAGACAGAGAAATTGTTGTGTGGGAGCCCATTAGTTACTACATAAGCAGCAAAGCTGCATTTTTACAAAACAATTCTTTCGTGGCATATGGGTGCCACTGATGAGGCCAACATTTGCTGCCCACCCCAAGTGCCCTTGTCCCGATTGGCTCAGCAGGCCATTTCAGAGGGCAGTTAAGAGTCCATCACATTGCTGTTGGCGTAGATTCACATGTAGGCCAAGTCAGCTAAGGACAGCCAATTTCCTTCTCCAAAAGAACATGACTGAACCAGCCGGTGTTTTTTTTAAAAAACAATAATTGATGCTTTCGTGGTCACCATGTCCCAGACCAGCTTTAAATTCCATATTTTATGAACTGAATTTGACATTTCAGCAGCTGCTGTGCTGCGATTTGAACCGATGACCCTAGGGGTCAGCCTGGTCCTTTGGTTTGCAGGTCCAGCGATCTTACCACTATGCTACCATCTCTCCTTCAGAGAACAAGCAATGGGTTCAATTCTAACGACACTTCCAATCCATGAAGGCAATATACTGCATGTATCCACCAGCATTCAACACTTGCATGTCCTCTATCCTAAAACCCAATAACACCAATAACAACTTGCGAATGAAACTGACACAATCCTCCACACTGTGATCACAGATAATGAGATGGAAGTGAGCACTATTACAATCATTTTCATTTCTTTTCATAGGTTAAAAGAATCAAGAATATTAGGAGAAAATGCTGGAGATACACAGTAGGGTTGTCACAAACTGGAGAAATCAGTTAGCAGCTCAAGTAGAAAACCTTTGCTAGAAATAAATTCAGACAAAAAGCTTCTCACTCAACTTGTTAATCTCATCTCTTTTCAGATTTTGTAGCTCAAGCATTTTCAGTTTTTATTTCCAGCACCTAAGTTTTTTTTGTTTGTGTGAAAAGTCAAAAAATGCATCCATGTCAAACAAAGATACATCTTTGGTCGACAGCACAGAGAAAGGTTCTTCGGCCCATCAAGTCTGCTACCTAGAAGCCTAAAGAGTACAGAAAGGTTGAGAGACCATCTCACCTGACGTGTATGGGTGGGTTTTGATGAGGCATTGCTGCTGCTTCTCGTCAAAGTGGATGCTTTTTGGGGAGGAGAAAACACCTTCTCATCACCATTCATGGCTGCCTGACATTCAAGTACCCACACAATCTAGCACCCACAGACTGAAGACACTTCTAGAGGTTGCACAAGGCTTGATCTTTTGAGGATCCCATGTTCGCACATTTGGACGCAGTCAAAAAGTCCTAAAAAGAGTAAAAATGAAAACAAAAACAATTTAAAAAAAAAAAAAAATCAATCAGTCAAGATTTATTCCAACACCCATGCGGGAGGCAAAAGGCAACAAACTGTATTTCGCTGGTGGAATGTCCTCAGTTTGTGTTCGTAACCGACATAAGTACTTACATAGAAAACAGACCATTCAGCCCTGTGTTTATGGACTACATGAGGCTACTCACATTTCCTTTACAGTCCTATTCCTTTCTCCATTGACTCTCTCATAAATACATCTGCGCTATTGACCCAATCACTTTATACGGCAGCGTTGGTGGGGGGGTGGTAGAGAGAACAGACAGACACTATCCCACCTTCACACTCCCCTGTTTTGATGTCCCCCACTATTGGAAACATCTTCATAAGTTCCATCTATCCCATTATCCATCAGGCTCTCCTCTTCCATAGAAAAAAAAAGAGCCCCACATGTTCAAACCAAACTAGTTACTGAATGCTGGACGTTAAAACAAACAATATTTCCATGACAGTCTCTAATGCTGATGCAGTACTACTGCTCTCATTGGTTTCGTACCAGGTGGTTTATGTTGAATTCAAAGCAAGCCAACAGCTAAAGGGTCTGGATAATGCAGAGGATTAAACATTTCCTTCCTAGACTAGGTTGCAGAGAGACGCACATTGACAGCTGTAGCTATTGGCTGCACCAGTCTAGCGTGATATGACTTCAGATGTTTTCAAAGCAATTGTGAGGGATGCACAGCACAATACAGTACAGTTCAGTGACATTTGCCCAGGCAGCACAATGTACAGTAGTAAGGCACTCAGAATGCAGCTCAGGCATTTTAGTGTCAGTGCCATACTCAGTGAGCTTCACTCTACACCAGGCTGCTCCAGACTGGTACTCTGGACTGGACCCAATACCCACTGCTCTAGAATACAAGCCTTGGCTCTGCAGCAGCACACTCCCATCAAAATCAGATGATCATGGAATCGGAAGTTATAGAGACCCAAGCACATAACCCAGAATGGTTCAAAGTAGGCTCTTCCTAGTCAGGTGCTGCAGCATTAAAATGAGGCCTGTTCTGTCCTTGCAGAGGGAAACAAGGCCCAGGGTATTACTTCATAAAGCCACAGAGATTCCCCAGCATCCTCAACTATCTACCCCACAAACAACATCACTAAAATAAATCTTTTGGTTATGACCCCCATCATCATTTGTGGAACATCTAATGTTTTGCCAACACAGACAGCCCCTGATTGGAGGTATGGAGGTACAGAAGTATAACAGAAGCAGGAACAAACTGCTTCAGGAGGGGCAAGCAGAGAATTTGTGGAAGGAAACGGAAGATGCCTCTAGATGTCGTAGTTACAGCGAGTTAACTACAGGGGAGAAAAAAAATATCAGGCTGGTTTCCATCCCAGCATGCTCTCTGGGCTGACTCTGCTCTATACAACACGGTCAGGCAAAGGGCAGGTTAAACGTACCCCCATAAATCTGGCTCTGTCGAGAGTTGACTTGATCCTTTATATAGCGTTGCACAAGTCGAAATCAATGGGAAACCCATTTCTTCTCATTACAGCTGGATCATTTAAAGTTTGAGAGAAGTATCATGTGGTGAGCCAGCTGATTTATATCTCAAGGACACATTCCTTCTCAGGAAGTCATGGTAACTGGCAGCATGACTAAACCAGGGATGGCTGAACTCATCTAGCCCAGGAGCTCAGCCAAGTTCATAGATCTAAAAGATCACACACTTGACGGATTACTTTCCATACTAACCTCTTCTAGTGTATTTTCACCTTCACCTTGATATTCAGGACGATTGCTAACTCACTGAACAGGCGCAATCACACAACGCCACGTGCTTTTACGGAATTCAAGATAGATTCCAAGCTCATTAGAAAACAGCTCACAAGAAAAGAAACCTTTGATTCTCCTTTAGCTTTCACACTGCAATCCCTGGTGGGGGTGGGTACTCCATAGAAATTCCTACCAGGCTATTTGCTTTCTAATGCTTTCTCTTGCTGTTAACAATTCAGGCAGTTTTAGGAAACTGTCTCAGAAATCATTGTCACAAGCTGTCAGTGCCCTTGTACTCCAGTACATTAAAACTATCTACAGTGTAGACACACTTTGTGCACAATGTGGTCAACTTACAAGGGCCTGGTTTTGTCATTTTGAAGTTGCAGCCAAGTCTGTAATCAAGCCAAACTGCACAGAACAACCTCCTGTGTGATTATTCTCTGCTGTAAATGAATATAAACAGTCAGTGTGCAACAGGGCACAGTGTACCTGCATTGTGAAGGATCATGAACTGTTTTGATCTCTCACTCACCTGGATGCATAATGGTCAGTTTCCACTTTTTCTCCGCCCTGTACTCCCTAAACCCCCTCTCCCTCCACACCCCAGACCCCACCGAACTGGGGAACTCTTATCAAAGTAATTCAAGCAGTCCCTCCTGTGCCAGATCACCATCAGTACTCTGTGACCTTCCCACTCTCAGATGCATTCCTTCACAACATCTCGGGTCTGTTGGATGCACACACCTTTTCCTGAAATGACACCCCTTTAAAAAACAGCGCAGCAGGACCAGTCAGACCAAGTTTATAACTGAAACAAAAAGGAACATGCAACAAGGTGGGAAGGATAAAGGGAGGGGGGGTGTGTGCATGTACGAGAGTGAGCGCAAAAGAATGTACACACTCCATGGAGCATGAAGTCACATTGCTCAAGTTTCGCACTGCGTGGAATCTACTGAGGTTTCACACCGACCATAAGAAGTGCCCAAAATGTTCCAGAAAATGCTCCCAACTCCACCCTCCAGCACTTGTTAAACCTGCAGCTAATTAACATGTTCAGCACAATTGTTCTCCCCCTCTCTAAATATTTAATTAACCCAGCGGTTACAGCAGAAATAACCTTTTGTATTTCAGTCCCTTATTTGCAGAGATCAGACCTGCACCAGTGGCTGATTAAACTAATTCCTGTGCAAGTGAGCGACAAGCAGCCCCGGATCATCACAATATCAGCAAATTGGCCAAAACATAAAACCTTGTTTTTGTCAAGAACTTCTCTTGTCTTCTGAAAGCACAGAGGAGTCTGCCAGGGCTGCCACTCAATTGCCACATCCTAGTTAAGGAAAGCTAGCAACCTGTTCGACAACTGTGAACAACATAACGAACCTCACCACTAATGACCTAACTAGGTACATTTCTCAGCAGAAAGCATGAATCAAGAACAGGCAGCTGACACCAACCTCAGTCAATCTAAGGATAGCGATTATGTAGCTTTAGGCTGCGAAGATAAACAGAAACCCAGAGTAGCACAAGTCCTAATAATCGAATTCAGTAACAAAAACAGAAATTGCTGGAAAAGCTCAGCAAGACGGGCAGCATCTCAGAATCCCTACAGTGAGAAAATAGGCCATTCAGTCTATACCAATCCTCCAAGGAGCATCCACCCCCTACCCTATCCCTGCATTTCCCACCCTAGACACCGTGGGCAATTTAACATGGCCAATCCACCTACCCTGCACATCTTTGGACTGTGGGAGGAAACCCACACAGACACAGGGAGAACGTGCCCGAGGCTGGAATCAAATCCGGGTCCCCGGTGCTGTGAAGCAGCAGTGCTAACCACTAAGCCACCGCACTGCCCACCTGTACCGTCATCAGTGCAGAGAAATCAGACTAAGTGTTTCGGGTCCAGTGACCCTTCCTCAGAACGTTAGGACTGCACGCTATGGGTACTGACTACCCACTTTGCCAAAAGTGCACCATTAAAACACTTGTAGGTCTCCCCCAAACTATAGTAGCTCAAAGCACAATTACACCTTCCTGGAAGCACCATTTGTAGGGACTGTAATCAGGTCAGCCAAGTGGATCTCACAGAATATGAGTTCTCTGATCCAATCAGGGAGCCCTGGCTGACAGATACAAACAGGAGTGTCAGAGGTTCTGTTCACTCCGAAAGCTGGCTCCAAGGAAGCTGGATCAGTGTCAAGTACAATGCATGTGTAAATAAAGGGTGACTAGGTGATGGGACACTGGCCTCTGCGAAGTTATTTCACCATTCAGACTGGAATTTGGTCTGTCATGATTAACTACCGGAATGTCTGATGCCTTTGTAGTTTTATAGGTTCCAAAAAAAAAGTCACATTGACTTGAGTCAGCTGGTAGCAAGCTTATCAAAACAGGTAGGGGTGGGTTGGAGGGAAGAATTGAGAATCCCCCTAAACTGTCCCCACACCACCCATCCAAACCAGGTGAACACACAATTTGGTCAAGATTCTAGTACAAGCCTGAGCATCTGTTGCTCTGTAAGAAATGCAATCTCTCTGGTAACATCAATCTTGAGACACTTGCTTGTTCAGCAGAAGGATAAGATCACGTGACATTATTCTAAGAGCAAGGGATGGTTCCAGACTCTATTCAACATCGTTTTCACAGATGTTTCTTTGTGCATATGGTTTATCCATGCTTATTTGCAAATCCCGCTTTCTCTTCCCTATCTCTGCAATCTCCTCCAGAACCCTCCCAAGATATTTGTGCTCCTCGAGTTCCAGTCTCTCTTGTACCATCAATATTAATTATTCCAACACTGCTTGCCACAACTTGGAACTGGCTATGTATCTTTAAGATGCTACTTAAAACCTCCTTCCTTGCCCAAGCTTTTGGTTACATCTCTCCATACTTTGTTTTATAATGTTCCTGTGAAGAGACTTGGGAAGTTTCATTACATTAAAAAGGGATTGTACAATTGTTGGTATTGTCTTAAATACACAAAGTTTTTACCCTTGCTATCAAATCCTTTCATTGCGCCCCATTTCAGTAATGGCCCACACAAATTCTAGCCTCTTGTGCATCCCTAATTTTCCACTCTCCATCATTAACAGCCAAATCTAGACCTTAAGCTCTGCAAGTGCATCATTAGCTTCTATGTCCTTTTCCTGTTTTCAGACTTTCCTTAAAGCCAATCTCTTTGATCACATGATCAGCACAACTCCACATCGA